TAATATTAAATGATAACTATTGCGTTAGCAGAGTTCATTAGCCTAGCTAGTTTGTGGCAGTGCTTAGCTAGTTAGCAAGAAGCTAACGCTAACGCTTGGTGTTTCCGGTTATTAACGGCAGTTCAACCTGCGACAAGATATTATTTTTCTAACTATCTGATTAGCTGCTACCAAACGTAGCATATCGTGTTTACAGGCCTGATAATGTTTCTTTACCTGTCGTTGTTGTGGCTGAGCTAGGTGCTCGTTCGCCTCTACCACAGATGGTCTCTATGGAAACAAAGTCTTGTCCTACGGAAACTCTATGCAGTCAAAAAGACTAGTGCGGATCTTTTTAACTCAAGTCAACTTTATTTATATAGTACATTTCATACGACAAGCGTAAACTCAGTGTGCTTAAGATACATCATACATAACAAACATAAAATATCAAATAAAATAATTAAGTATAACATATATAAAAACTAGCAGGACATGATAAAAACAAACAAAATAAGAAGGTATTATTCCCAAAAAAGGGGAGATAATAAAAACAATAATACTATTTCCTAAAACTAATAAAAATACACTTAAAAATCGAACTAAAACCTTTTTAATACAGTGCATCAGGAACACTGAATGTAACATCTGATAATGATTTGGATATATGACTTAAATGATTTCCCCAAGCATTAAAAGGGGTATTTAATTGTAATAATGTTCATCTGTATATCCTTTATGTTCTTTTATTATGTTGTTAATTGGCTGTAACTTTTTTTTTTTGCATGCTGCTGTCTTGGCCAGGTCTCTCTTGCAAAATAGATTGTCACTCTCAAAGCCTGGTTAAATGTGGGTTGAATAAATAAATAAAGTAACATTATTATTATTATTATTATTATTAATATTAGTATCAATAATAATAATAACATAGACAGTGTTGGGGGATGACTACATACATTTAGTATGATTTAGTATTAGTACATTTAGTATCAAGTACTGTGCTTAAGTTTGATGTACTTGTAGTTTAGTTGTTTCATTTGAAGGTTCTTTTATACTTATAAATAGGCTACATTTATATTAGTCACTCAGTCAGCTGTATAATGAGTACTTCTACATTTAAGTACTGGAGAAATTGTGCAGAATGGTCACAACTCAGAATAATACATATCATATTATATCTAATCTATATTAGATCTAATGGAATGGGTGCGTCCATAATTTTAGTGAGTGTGTCACATAAACCATAGGCTAGCAAAATGTAACTTTCATGCAGTGCCATGTGCAGTGTAGCATACTGTCCTTACATCTGAAACATATATTTGACATTGTAGGATTATAGCGGTGTAACTTTTAAGGGGTTACATACAGTTGATGGATAAAATTGTAGTTGACCAGTGAACAACTACAGTGAAGATTCTCAGTCATCAAGGTCATGGTAATCATAAGTGCTATATTGTAGGCAACTGCCTGAGATCTTTTTAACATCATGCCAGAGGACTGCAGTTGAAAATTAGCCTTTGGCTAACAGCAGCACATTTACAGCAATGTTCATTAATGTGCACTGTCCTCTAAATTAATTTAAAAAAAAAAAAATGGACTTCTTGAGACGTTTCGCCTCTCATCCAACAAGCTTCTTCGGTTCTAAATGACTGGTACAGAGTTGCAGGCTTTAAACCCTGTCTGTGGACCCTTGCAGAGTGGTTGGAGTCACATCTTTTAACCTAGTAACACACTGAGACAGAAACTTGTCCACCCCAAGGACAAAACACCCAGGCACAGGCATGAGCAGAGTAGTGTAGTGTATGCAGTTCAGTGCAGCCAGGAATGCACAGATTTGTACATTTGGGGAAACAAAACAACCACTCCACAAGCGCATGGCACAGCACAGGAGAGGTCAAGACTCAGCTGTCCGCTTGCATCTAAAGGAGAAGGGACACTCTTTTGAGGACAGCAATGTCCACATCTTGGCCAGGGAAGAAAGGTTTTGGTTTGAAAGAGGAGCAAAAGAAGCCATCTACATCAAACTGGAACCACCAAAGTTAAACAGAGGTCGGGCATATGACACCCTCATCATCCATCTACAATGCAGTCTTGGGATCCCCCCCCCCCCCTAGACAACTTCACACCCATTCACATCTGGCCCCACCTGACCCTAATGACTCACATGATGGCCAGGTGGGTCAACAACTCACATGTGACCCCAACGACTCTGCAAGGGTCCACAGGGTTTAAAGCCTGCAACTCCATACAAGTCATTTAAAACTGAAGAAGCCTCTTGGATGAGAGGCGAAACGTCGTCAAGAAATGCAAGCAAGTCCAGTTGCCTACAGTATAGCACTCATGATGTAGTTGACCAATCCAAATCTGGCATTTACAATGGCGAACAAACTGTTCTGACATCAGTCAGACATCTTCACTGAATACTTTCCAACCACTGTCTTCCTCTGGCCTAGAGCTGCAGTGTGCATGCTGCAGTAATACCAGTGGCCACAGGGAGGCGACACTTCTCAGTCTGCGCCGCAGAAGCCTTTCATATCTGTGGGCTGCACTACTGACGCAGAGCATGATGGAGCAAACTGGTGAGCCACCTCACAACAACAACAACGCGACTGGAAATGAACCTCCTGCCTGCGGCCTCCACAGCAAACGCCTCAAAGAGCTGGAGAATGCCGCCCTGCAGACCTCTTTAATATCACGGATGGAGACGGAATCCGGGGCGGACGCCGGGAGCTGGACGGAGCAGCAGCCCGGGGAGGACGAGCAGTCGAACGGCTTGCCCTTGAATCACCGGTCGGCCCCTCCGCAGCTCAGCGCGGACACCGAGGCGGAAGAAGCGGAATCGGATGGAAATGTCGCCAAGGAGCGGGTCGAAGAGGAAAGGACCCTGACGGACCATTTAAACAAAAGTCTGCTCTCCTCGTTTCTGGAGAAGCTTAACGAAAGGGACCTGGCGCTTCCCGGTGTTCAGCGCCTGGACTGTGCTGTAGCGGACGAGGACTCTAACAGGGCCGCGGATGAGTGGTGAAGCAGCGGGCTGAAGACGAGCAGCAGCAACATGGAGGTGGTTGAGGGATTGAGGACCAATGTGCACGGAAGCACAATCCCACAACAGTAAAGAAAGACTCTCAGTTAGGCCTACCAATTTATTCTGGAGGATGGAGTGTCTGGAAATGTTATGCTTACTTTTGTATAGTGAGAATGGGTGAAAGATTAAGAAAATGCAATAAATGACCAACATGCTATATGAAATGCTTTTGTACTCATTAGTTAACATGTATCTGGCAGCCATAATGGATCTGTGGCAGCCATGTGTGTAGGTCTGAATTCTGAAGTGACATTCAGTCATCAGTAGGTGTCAGTATACACCTAAACAATATCCACATTAATAGCTGGATATTACCACAGTGTTTTATTATCAGTTCTAATTATTGTGGGACTTGAAATGAAAACTGAGTAAAGGAGCGCTAAAAAAAAAAGACACTGTACTACTCTACTAAAAGTATGCCTATTTTCCTACACAAGATGAAGTAAATAAACTTGTATATAAAGTACCACTAGGTTAAATATATTGTTTTAAATCCTTTTTTTTAAAAAAAAAAAAAAAAAATCAGTGGTCATAACCTTTTAACATAAATTAAGTAAGTTATGATCTCTAAATTTGTGACCATCTTTTCATCGTCTGAAAGTAGCTATCACAACTCTAAAAGGAAAGAGACAAAACAGATAAAATAAGTACAATGTTTAAAGTAAATGATTACTAAATCAAATTGTCGATAACATACTCATAAAAGCACAAGAAAAAGCTATATATTAATAGCAGTCTAATAGTCTTCACCTATTTCAATTTGATATACCTAGTACATCCCCTACTGTATATTTGCTCCTATTGTTCACCTAAAAATCCCTAGCTCAAAATTTAGCTTAGTTCATCCCAAAAAAAAAAATCTAAAATCATCTAGATTGTTTCAGCGTGAGTTGCCGAGTCGCTGAGGTATTGGCTGTAGAGATGTCTGCCCTCTCTTGAAAATAACAGAACTCATTTGCATTCACCTTGTGGTGCTCAAAGCACCCAAAAAAATACATTTGAAAAACTCAACAGCAATGTCTCTTTCCAGAAATCATGACCAGGTTACTAAAGATAATCCACAGGCCTTGTTGTGAGCAGTTTCATCTAGGAACTATTTTCTTTCTACCAAACTACAGCCATCACTGTGCAGAAGGAAACGTGCATCTACTGATGCTTTTGGTATTTTATGGAGAGCACTTTTGTTAATGAAATGTGCTATGTAAATAAACTTGCCTTGTCTTAACGAGCATCACTGAACTAAAACATTACAGCCCAACTGAGGAGGATGCAAGGGATGTTTACCTCTCTCATTCATGAGTAGATGCACGCTTCCTTTTGTGCAGTTGTACAACTGGCGAGTGTAGTTCGGTAGAAAGGAAATAGTTCCTATATGAAACTGCTCACAACAATGCCTGTGGATTATCTTCAGTAACTGGGTCATGATCTCTGGAAACAGACATCGCTGTGAAGTTTTTTGAAAAATTTTTTGCTGCTTTGAGCACCACAAGCCGAGTGCCATCTAGGTCCATTATATTGGAGACAAGGCAGACATCTTTATGGCTGATATCTCCAAAACTTGGCAACTATCTAGACTGTTAAATAGCACTAGACATAAGAGGAAACATGCATTTTTGATCTTGGGGTGAACTGTCCCTTTAAAATCTATAAGGTACCACATATACATGGGGGAAAAAAACCCTAAAAACTTCAAGAACATAAAGGTTTAATTAATTGACATTGGAGCGTAAATGATGCAGAAGGATCCATGAAGCAATTGTCATATAGAGTTAAATCACCAAGTAGCCTAAATATACATGATCGGTCCCCACTTTATGCTGCAAACTGGAATTTATATCTTAAAACTCGGTTACTCACAGGAAATGCTTTATGACTCAGTGTATTCCTCACATGAGACAATTTCCAGCACGCTGGGGTCTTGAAACATGGTCACAGAAAAACTTGAATAAGTTTTATTTTTAGTTGTTACAAAAGGTGTACATCAATCATAGGCCTATACTGTAGTATAGGTGTTGAAAACTTCTAATACCACTGGCATTGTGCTAAGGAATGTGCATTAGTTAAAGCCAACCTGTGTGACTCTTTCTGAACAGAGACGACTGTGGTAACAAGCAGAAAATACGGGGTAAGTGCTAAATCATTGCAAAACAGTAGCTCAAGTGGAGGAGAGCCATAAAGTCAGGTTAGTTTATTGAAGATAGCACAGTGTGTTTTATTGCTTATAAATCCTTTTTATTTGTAGGAGGAAAACTGATTCTTTAATGTTCTTCCATTGATGCTGGAGCTAAGCAGTGGCTTGCCAGACAGTGAACAGTAGCAACTGGAATCAAGCTAAAGGAAACATCTTTTATCCACAAAGTAATTTCAACAAACTATTTCCAACAGAGGACGTCACATCCTTTTTGTCAGTAACACTGCAGGGACAAGCATGTAAAAGGTGACGTCTGTCAGACCAAAAATGCATTCATGAGGAGCAATCAAACCAATCACAACACTCAGCTGATGATTAAAAGTCCAAGATTTGTTCGCATTATTTGTATCCAAACTTGTTGAATATTAAATACACTACAAGAACATTGGTACCAGATAAAAACAGCTCCTCACCTGCCATGTTCCAGACAATTATAAGGAATTAATAAGCATAATAACAAGTGTATACAAAGTACATCCAGCCTTGCCCGTCTTCTCTTCCTGTTTTGTCAGCCGGCATCCATTAAATGAGTGTCCCTTGCATCATTTATTCCAGCATTGCCATGAGATGTTTGAAAAGCTAAATGCAGTGCATGTGTGAATGTTAAAAATAGTGTTGCGTAAAAGATTATCCCAATAATTTACCATTAACTTTGTGTGAAAGAGGCTAAAGAAAATGATGGCTGTGTGTAGACTGGATGAGTAATGACCTATGAACTCGTTTTTTTTAAATATCTATTGTGGCTGAAAATGGTTCTGATAGCTTTACAGTATTTTCTGCAGTTCATATTTATGTAAAAAGACACACAAGGAGATCTTCTATTTATAGGAGTTGTACATGAAACTACTGAGAGAGTCATATCACTTTCTGTATAAAAAATAAAACTAAAAAAAGACTCCTTAGCTGGCCAGGTGCTGTGGGTAACATAATGTATAAACATAAACTTGAAAATGAAATAAGAGCTGAATTACCATTACTGCACACACACACAGTTAACCTCAGGCCGCCTGTCACAAGTCCTCTAACACTGGTTGAAGTGCAGGTGTGCATTGCTACAGATATGGGACATACCAGAATTAATGACCTGACGACAGAGCCTTTCAACATTAAAGGAATTCAAATAACACCTGAGGGTATTTGATTACAGGCTATACATTTACTGGCACAACAATAAATCCCTTCATTATCCAAACACATTTTAAGGAGGTTTTTTAATATAAAAATTGTTTTTCTTCTACCTACACGTATCTCCAAACAAAGAAAAATACACAAATATAAAAAATTCTCACTGCCCATAGAGAGGAAATGCCACAGCTATTAGTGCTTATTGGTACAGTATAAAAAAGTTACGTTTCCAATTCCTAAACTCTGAGTGGTGATTTAATATTCACAACATCTGCTGGTCCTTCTTTTTCATTTGCGTCGTCTTTCTGCAGATCCGTCAAAGGCACAAGCTGTGGATTATGTGTCGCCTTGTCTCCAAGATTCTGGTTTCAAAACAATAAGAAACAAAAACTGATGGACACCAAGATTATACAAACACACACACTGAGCAATAAAACTCAGGCGCACACTTCTTGAACATGATATTGATTTTTAAACTACTGTAGCAGTTGTCAAGCAAAGCCTTCTACAAGTTGTGGAGTTGTGATGCTACACATCTTATCCACCATATCTGCCATAACTGTGTTTAAGTTATTTTGTTAAGCAATAACTTATTGAATCATTTTTTTTACCTTGTTATTTCTATGTAGGCTCACAGGTAGCTTCAGCGTATCCCCGCATGTATTGTGCAGAAGGCAGGGACACATCCTGGACATTGTTCCAGTCTTAAAACAAACACAGACAGCCAACACATTCACACTTGTACATGCAGTGTCAGTCCAAAACGATCTAGTAATAATAATAAAGTAGTTTTAGTCTTAACAGGGATTCATTTTGTTAAATTATTTACAAAATGTACATATACAACTTTCTGGAACAAAATCAAATCTGGAGTCTCCAGTGAAAACATAAAATGTGAACCATAAGGTCAGAGTACAGTGTTACCCGGCCCAAGACAATAGATAATGCACAGAAATCATTATGAGGTTTTATTCATTCTCCTCTATTTCCTCACTTCATGTCCGCATTCTTTTTTTCCACCACCTCAGATAAAACGACGCCTAACAAAGTAATAAGCTCATGATATACTGTAATACTTACTCTGCGCTCTGATGGGGCATCCACGTGCTTTTTCTTCAGATCCCACCATAACAAACCCTCTTTGATCTGACTCCTCTTTGTTGGTCCTTTGAGAGAAACAACAGAATTTATTCAGTTTTCATTGTAATGTAATGAGATTAATCGCCACGATTAACAAGCAGCTAGAATTACTGCTTTGTGGTCAGGTTGCAGTTTTCATCCATTTTTGATCAGACTCATATAATACATGTAGTGAAGACTTTGAAGGACATTAATAAAAGGTGTATTTTTGGGCATCGCAATGTTGACATGTATGATTCCAGTGGATAAATTCCAGTGAGACACATACTGTCCTCACTTCAAGACTATTTTTACAGAGTGCAAAGTACAGAGGACTGATGGAGAGCTTCGTGACATGGTGCAACTACAATCATCTGAAACTCAAAATCAGCAAAACTAATGACCTTATGGGCCACCAGGGGAGCAGGATATAAGACAAAGCTGTAGCCATGACAGTAGACACACATCTTCTAACCAAACATTACAATGTCACAGTGAAGTTGACCTTTGAAGTTGACCTTTCATCATTTTAGACATTTGTGTGAAATTTTGTCAAAATAAGAGTATGAATTCTTAAGTTATGGCCAAAAACATGTTTTGAAAGGTCACAGTGACCTTTCACCGCCAAAATCTAATCAGTTCATCCTTGAGTCTAAGTGGACATTTGTGCCAAATTCTTGGGATGGACATCCATATAACAAAATGCCTTCTTGGCACGGCTGTCTGACGTAGAGGCATGAAAATGACGGCAAAGTTCACACCTCTCTGTACTGTATCATCAAAAATGGAACATTATGAGCTTTTATTGCACGGCGGTTATGTCAGATTGCACTGGGTGATAGTTACTATGTGGAGAATACAGGCAGCTCAGTGTAGTTTATTGGCTTTAATTAAAACAGTAGCTTTGACTGCTGTGTCATCGTGTGTCAGCAGTTTTCACTTGTGTCTTTTTTTTATCTTCTTACCTGTTGCGTAGCTCACTATCAGCCCAACAAGCACGACCGAACTAGTCGCCATGGCACCGAAGTAGAGGTAGGACATGTAGTAGAAGTTAAGCAGGCCCCTGTGATTATAAAAAAAAGTTTTAAAATATTTTTCAGTTGTAATGCTGTAGCATGTGAAGTACATAGTTCTATGTCAGGACTTACACCATCTGAAACACCACATCCATTTAGGAATGTAGTCATCTTATCTTATTTTTACTTGTATTATGTCTAATAAATTGCTTCATCTTTAACAAATGTAAACCACCTGAGAAAAAACAGTTGTGTATCAGTGCAGGCCTTGGTGAACTCACTGACCCCTGATCATAAGGGTGAAGCCGGGTGGAGATGGAATGTTGGTCCTGGTGGTGGGTGCTGTTCAGGCTGATGTTGCTGGCTCCACACTCGCCTGCGTAGCTGGGCAGGACACCCATAATCTCCTCACTGGGTGGATAAAGAGTTGAACCAACAGCCAGCCACAGAGAGACACAGAAGCCCACTGATATTCCCGCGAACGCCCCCTGAAAGAACAAGTACAGCTTTTAACAGCAGATGTTAGGGAACTTGAGGCAAACATGAGGCGACACAGAGCCGGTCTTCGTCTGTGTTCCTTTGTTGGGTGACAGGGCTCTAAAAGAAGCAAAATCTTAGCTCTTAAAGCACTGTAAAGAAATGTTCAACATGAGACATTTTACAGTTAAACTGCAAGTTTAATTACATGTAGTTCAGTTCACTGCTTTGCAGCACTGTAAATCAGTAACACCTAACGTCAGTGAAAGTTGTCATAAAATTACTTGTTGGTGATGACTGACTGATGGACTGATTTCCATAAAAACGGTCTGGTTGTGTAACAACATACAACTACAGAGAGAAAGGTGTATGTATGTATGTGTGTGTGTGTGTGTGTGTGTGTGTGTGTGTGTGTGTGTGTGTGTGTGTATTCAGATTGATCTGTTCTTATTTTGTCTTGAATGTTAAATTTTTGTTTGATTTAGTTGAGGTGTGTATGGTTAACACTGGAGCAGAAAGTGGGAATATTTACGTTTATATAAAGTTTATTGATGGTAAAATAAATAAAAAAATAAATAAATAAATAAAAAAGTGGTAGGAGGACTTAATAATTATTCATTTCCTCCTGCTCCTTTTCGGACATGAAATACTTATGTTGTTTACTGAATATGTCTGCTGGGTATTATGGTTTTGTTTTCCTACTTATATTTTTAATTTTAATTTTCTTTGTTTGAAATAAAATAAAATCAATTAAATCTTTTGTGATTCTCTCTGTAAGAGCTTTATTTTAAATGAAACTAAACAAGACGCCACATCTCTTCTACTGTTCTGCTATGTCCACTTACTTACATTTATGATGTGGCTACAACATGGCTACCAGCATACATTGTTTTAGCGCTTGTTAAGCCACAAAGACAAGAAACAAACTCGTTAAGAAAGGAATGTGACACTGACCAGTGGCCAAGCGTTTGAATTTTTTTTTTTTTCTTACAATAGCTGACATTAATTCCTGATTGTTTTAGTTACTGGATTAGTTTAAATGCAACATAACATGTTATCTTAACATGTTATAACATGTTATTTACAAATCATGTAAACTGTCTCTCATTTTTGGATACTACAGGTAATAGTTGATTTTTTTGATCTGTACATAATTTGAATCATTTTTACCACACCCAGGGATTTTCTCTTATTCCAGTTTCCCTGAATAAGAAAAGCAAGAAATGAACTACAGTCTATAACACCGGACAAATCAAGCCACTCACCAGCCTGTTTGCTGCTGGGACAAACATCCCCAAAATGAATACGCCCAGTAATGGACCGCTGACCACACCCATGACTGTGAACGATCCCTAAGTAGACAAGACAAAGGCATTTCTGGAAAAACCACCAAACGCACCACTGAGATTTTATGACATTAAGTGCAATGTATATCTCTGTACATTGTGTTCATGTTACATTTTTACAATGGATTCAGGGTAGATGATGGAAGCTATACCTGAAGAACACCCCAGTCCAGGAAGGAGGACAAAGCAGCTACGGTGATACAGCCAACTCCGTACAGGAATGCTGAGAGAGACAAGAGAATAAATTGTGGCTGTGCAAAATGTTATGTTTGCATTCAACTTGGCTCCAAAATATAACAACAGGAGGTGGTATCATTTACTACTGAGTCAATGAGAAATGTGAGGAAATGATGATAAAACATGATTTCTACTCCAAAATGTGAAAGGTGGTGCCAGTGAAAATCAAGTTTTCTTATTGTTTCTGTGTAAAACAAAAGAGATTTTTTAAGAATACATACAAGAGTATAGAACAACTCATTATGTGGACGTTCGTGGTGAGAATCAACCTACACAGTCCTTTGGAAATGAGGATCAGTTTCTTCTGGGTCAAGTGGCGCAGGTGAGGTTGCAGCAGATCCTCCATGGTTACTGCAGCCATTGCATTGATACTTGTGGAGGCCGTACTGTGAAAAAAAACGTGGGCACAAGTTATACTACATCAGCTGCTCGCTGACAGTGCTTACATACTAATACTCTTTCTTGTGATAATCACAGACACAAAAGAAGGGCAGAGTGCTCAAATGTGTGTCTTTAAGGTTTGTTACTATCATAAAACTACACAACGTTTTACTTTAAAAATTCTAGAAATGTATTTAAATTAGTAAATGAACTTGTGATCCTGTACCTATGAGAGCCACAGTATTTTTGGTAGAACCACAAGAGACCGCCAAATGTAAACAATTCAAAACACACTAAGGCTTTAATAGGCTGAATTAGTTCCCTGCAGTGGTAGGAAAAGTACTCATATTTGTTTACTTAAGTAATACAACAAAAACGTCCTCTATCACAGGTAAGAGTCATTCATTCAAAATCGAGGGAAAGTAAACAACTATCAGCAGAAAGAAGTACTTAAAGCTACAGGTGGTGACTTTAATAAAAAATAACCTTGTGTCATATTTGCTGAAACTGTCAAAATATTGTGAAAGAAGTACAGGAGAGATATCAATCCTCCCCTCCTACTGCCTCTAATGGTATTCACTAGAATCAGCAGCAACAACCAGCCAGGCCCAGGAGTCTCTGAGGGTCCACATATGCCCTGTTTCCATCAAGCAATACGGTACGTTTCAGTGCGGTTCGGCTTTTTTTCCGTTTCCACTGTGAAAAGTTGTGGATGGTACCAATGGAACCGTTCCGTATCGTCCCTATTTTCGGTCACCCCTCTGTTGGTGTACCTAGCACACAGATCTGGTACTAAAAGGTGGAGCTGTGAACACTGCAGTCCGTTGATTGGTCAATAGAGGACGGTCACTCTGATCAGGGACAAATTGTGTCTGTTTTTGTAACTGGCAACTTTTAAGGTGGAACATTTACTTGTAATGTTACTCAATGCATGACTTGACGACGTGAATCCATCAGCACACCTTAAATTTCAATGTGACAAGTTTGACCATTACCTTAGTTGTTTTTTTTCTGTCTGTTTGGATGGCATACACTTTTAGTAATGAGTGGATCTTCAAATGTTTAAAAATATATATATTAATTTCAACCAGATTATGGGAACTCAGTATATTGTAATCCTCGTTTGGAGAAAAAAAAGCATCATGGAGCATCATTCCTGTGGGCTCCGGCTGGTTGTGCTTGCCTGAGAAGTACTACATCCACAAAGTTTTCTTTAAATATTGGCAACATCACTAGCTCCTTTCTAAAAAGTTTTCAACCCAAAATGCTTGGGGCGGCTGCACTAAAAAAGCAGAGCACTCTGCAAAAAGACGCAGTACTTTTTGTCTAAGCCAGTGCATATGCTCTCTCCTCATAGGGAACAATTGAAGAAAGACACCAGCACTGAGACAAAACACACTACGTGGATACAGGCTCTAACACAGCTGAGGAGTCTCTAATGCAGCTGTCAGTCATGCCAATCGCTCCATGACCTGCGGTCAAACCGTCAAACTAGGCAGCATTGATCAAATATGAATCAAGATTTTCTTACTGTATTGCATATTTGTTGCCACAAAGGTTCTCAGAAACATGTTTTAGTGTACTGTTCGTCCGGCTGGTGGGCGGTGCTTGGTACTCCCATTTTACTGCAGCCAACACATTGGCCATATCACAAACTTTCTCACTTTACAGCTAAACAGTACACTAAAATTTGTCTCTGAAACATTTGAGGCAAGAAATGTCCAATGAGATTTTTTTTCACAGATTACGTGTCTCATTTAGTGCGTGTGAATACAGTGACAATTTCAGCAAATAAGAAAGAAGGTTTTTTTCCAACTGCCGCTTTAAAGTTCAAAAGTAAAAGTACTTGTTCTACAAGTAGCTGTCAAATACTTGTAATTGATTAAAAAGTGCAATATTTTCCTCTAAAATGTACTGAAGTAGAAGTATAAAACGGCAGAATATTATAATACAAGTACCTAAAAATGAAATACAGTACTGTGCAGTACTCAAATAAATGTACTTAGTTACTTTCCACAACTGGTTCCCATGTTAGGAGAAGGCCTGTAATAAATTTCGTTTACAGAAACCAAGTTTGAATACCTCAGAGTCCCGCTGTATGCACAGGCAAGGAAAAGACCTGGAAATCCGGGGTGGTTTTTGAATATGTCCAACACGAAGTATGGCATGTACTTCATCAGACGATAGGGGGAAATGGTGACAAAGTAAATATCTGTGTTAGAAAAATATACTTTTCCAATTGTTCTTCATCAAATAAAACCAAATTCATTTGGTAAATGAATTATTTTCTCATTGTGTTGAGTCACCAGCCAATAATAGGTAACTTTTTTTTATCCTTTTTACAATCTATAAAACACACTTTAACTTTCAGCACTGTTTGACCTTTATCACATCAAAGCACAAGGGTGGTAAACAGCTAAAGCAAATATTTGAGGTTTTAAGTATTACATTATGTAGCCAAGCCAAACTTTATAATTTAAAATATGGAGGGTGGAAGGAGCATTTGGCAAAGAAAATCTTAGAGGTGCAGATTTTGAAACCTATAGTATAATATGAACCCTCCTGAGCATCATTTTCTGGTCATGGATCAATATGAGTGTCTTATGTACCAGATCTGGGGCAGAAATCCTCCCAGACTTCAGCGGATCACAGCTGATGTAATAAGCAAACATGACGATGCCGCAGGTCGCTGCACTGCTCACAATGAGGCACAGACCCACTTGATTCACAAACAGCGCCCTGCAATCAAAAGCAAACATGATTGTAGTGACCCCGGTTTATTGTTGGAATTCTGCATTTCCACTATTGACTTACTGCTGTGAGTGTGTGGGAAAATACATCTTCAGGTTTGCCTGGTCATGCTTCTGGGATTAAAAAACTTTAATTCTGAGCACTGTGGTGAAATCTAAAGGGCTGTGGTATATTTTAACGTCATTCTTCATGTAAAGTAAAGGCTTGACTGTCAACATGAAAAGTTGTCAGCTTCAACAAGATATTTTTATCTTACAGGGGAATACCATCATGGAAATTTCAGGAAGTATACCTACTAAAAATAAGATATCAAATGCTTGATGACTAATTGCAAAGAAACAATGGGCTATCTGACAATATAAACAGCCTATTGAATACAACCCTTGTTTGACAAGGAACAAAACTATTACATTTCACTTTGTGAATTTCCTCTCAAGACAAGTTCTCATGTGCATGTTAGATGCAAATACATGTCTTTTCACCTTCAGGAAATGTGAAAACATTATGTCAACCTAAAACAAACAACTTGCTGATATGTAGACGCCTTGGTAAATAATGAAACTGCTCTGGAAATCGGCTATTATTTTTTCCACCTTCTATCCAAACACACTGGGGATTAAAAGAACATGACTCTCACTGTTATTCTAAGAAAGGGTGTTGTCTAGATCTGTCACTGTGGCTATAATGCATGTTTGAATATGTCACCTTCTTGGCATCACATTAGTCTTCACCTGAAGCTATTTTAGCATAATATTAGCCTAATTGTCAACAGCACAATCGATTAATGGTGGGACCATAGCATAACATCGGACTAAACTAATATTTGCTAAGACATCGAAACTTGAGGGCAAAGGCTAGAATAAAAGGATATATCAGAGACAATGTAATGTGGCCAATGACTGTGGCCATGCTAGCTGCTCTGTGAAGCTTGTGCTAATAATGTTAGCATTTTACATTTGTTTGGAAAATGTGTTTCGTATAAGACAGCTGTCTTATCAGTGAACCTTGTGAGCAGTTATGGAGCCGAACTTTGTGCCATTACCTTTGTTAAATGTTGCTGTTGTCACTGGCTTCATATGAGTAGAGGAAATATACACTAGCTGCTAAGCTAATTGATACAATGTAAAATGCCATAGGCTCGTACAAATAACATTAGCACGTTGTATTTGTGGGAAAAACTTGTCCAGCAAAAAAAAAAAAAGAAAAAAAAAAGCTTTGTCTCTGAATCCTGCAAGTTATAATTAAGCCGATTTGTGTACTTGCGTTTGAAATTGTTGCTATTATGCCACGTGTAATGTGTGTGCAGCAGCCAAATGGTGGTTTGGTGGTGTAATTGCATAGTGACACAGACAAACCAGGCACAAGTATAAATGCTCACAACGGCATAGGCCACATGCGTATGCTATGGCATAGGTTCTGCATCGAGCTGACGCATAAGGCCCAATCCCAAACTCTCCCCTTGTCCACTACCCTTTAGCCCTTGGCCCTACCTAGCCCTTGCCCACTACCCCTTGGCCCTTGAAATGAAGCAACGAGGGGTAGGGGTTGAAATTTTCCCTAGGAATTGGGACACCACTCACTACGTCACCGCGTTGGTTACGTTCACGCATACGTAACTATTTTAAACAGGAAGCTGCGAGCCATCTATATTTCCAATTGGCATCTACAATGGAGTCTCCAGTTGAGTTCATCTTACCGATCGCGTTTGCATTATTCATTATGCTTCGTTTGATGAACGACAGACGACAGGGGACTTCCGCTAGCTAGATAGCTAGCTAACCAGCTAACATTACAACGCAGCATAGTTATACTAGGTGGCATGTTATCGTAATGTGAAAAATCTGATAATTTTGCAGAACAGGACAGATGACAGACGCCAGCTAGTGCGAGCTAGCTAGCTAGCTAATAAGCAACTTGATGACGGTAACGTTAGCTATGTATGAACTTTTTCCCCGTCTCTTGCTCAGTGGTAGCCATGGCGACTTCTACCCCTCGCTGGCAAGTCAGCATCTGAAATCCCTCGCTCTGAAGGGCTAGTTTCATACCCACTACTCCTCGTTATGCCCCCTACCCCTACACACAAAAAGGAATTGGGACACCCCTACCCCTCGCAAATGTAGGGGTAGGGCCAAGGGGTAGGGCTAAGGGGGGGTATTCATAATGGGCCCTAAATCTGCCCTAGGCTAAGGGTCACTTGAACTCCCAACTTAAGATATCTAAATGCAAATAGGCTCAGTGGGTACCCATGAGTATCCCCTAAACTCGAGAAGGCTTGTTAAAAGTAAATGTTTTGTTCTTTACAATCAGTGTACTTCAAATGAAAGCTGTATATTTGTCTTTCAAAGGAAAAGACCACCAGCCTTTGAGGAACAATGAATTGCCTAACATGTATAGATACATCACACATTACAACAGGAATGTTGTGGAACTTAAAATGTTAACTGTCCTGATATTAGTCCATGCATTAGATAATTCAATCAATAATAACTATGAAATAAGAAACCAAAGAAGATGCTATTCCTCCGGTTTCACATTGGCATAGTTTTCAACTAGCCTATAGCTATAGTGCCCTCCAAAAGTGTTGGAACAGTGAGTCCAATTCGTTTACTTTTGTTGTAGACTGAAAACATTTGGGTTTGACAGCAAAAGATGAATATGAGACAAGAGATCAACATTTCAGCTTTTATTTCCAGGTATTTACATCTAGATCTGATACACAACTTAGAAGATAGCATTATTTGTAATGGAACACAAAATTTTTAGGTGAGCAAAAGTATTGGAACATATAAACTTAAAATAGATTAAAGTGAATGAGACTTAATATTTAGTTGCAAATCCTTTGCTTTCAATAACTGCATCAAGCCTGTGACCCACTGACATCACCAAACTTTTGCATTCTTCTTTTGTGATGCTTTTCCAGGCTTTCACCGCAGCCTCTTTCAGTTGTTGTTTGTTTTGGGGGGTTACTCCCTTCAGTCTCCTCTTCAGCAGGTAAAATGCATGCTCTATTGGGTTTAAGTCTGGAGACTGACTTGGCCAGTCTAAAACCTTCCACTTCTTGCCCCTGATGAACTCCTTTGTTGTTTTGGCAGTGTGTTTTGGGTCGTTATCTTGCTGCATGATGAAGGATCTCCCAATCAGTTTGGTTGCATCTTTCTTTAAATTAGCAGACAAAATGTTTCTGTAGACTTCTGAGTTCATTTTGCTGCTGCCATCATGTGTTACATCATCAATGAAGATGAAAGAGCCCGTCCCAGAAGAAGCCATGCAAGCCCAAGCCATGACATTACCTCCACCGTGTTTCACAGATGAGCTTGTATGTTTGGGATCATGAGCAGATCCTTTCTTTCTCCAAACTTTCGCCTTTCCATCACTTTGGAAAAAGTTAATCTTTGTCTCATCAGTCCATAAAACTTTTTCCCAGAATTTTTGAGGCTCATCTCTGTACCTTTTGGCAAATTCCAGCCTGGCCTTCCTATTCTTCTTGCTAATGAGTGGTTTGCATCTTCTGGTGTAGCCTCTGTACTTTTGTTCATGAAGTCTTCTGCGAACAGTAGATTGTGATACCTTCACTCCTGCCCTCTGGAGGTTGTTGCTGATGTCACTAACAGTTGTTTTAGGGTCTTTCTTTACAGCTCTCACAATGTTTCTGTCATCAACTGCTGATGTTTTCCTTGGTCTACCTGTTCGACGTCTGTTGCTTAGTACACCAGTGGTTTCTTTCTTCTTCAGGACATTCCAAATGGTTGTACTGGCTATGGCCAATGTTTGTGCAATGGCTCTGATTGATTGTCCATCTTCTCTCAGATTCACAATTGCTTCTTTTTCACCCATAGACAGCTCTCTGGTTTTCATGTTGGTTCCACCTCTAAATGCAGTCTGCACAGGCAAAACCTATCGTACCCAATCTGAAACTGAGCTCAGACATTCAGTGCTATTTATTGTTTGAATAATCAATGTAATTGGGAGACACCTGGGCAACAAAACACACCTGTCAGTCACATGTTCCAATACTTTTGCTCTCATGAAAAATGGGTGGGTTCAAACAAAAGGTGCTATCTTCTAAGTTGTGTATCAGATCCAGATGTAAATACCTGGAAATAAAAGCTGAAATGTTGATCTCTTGTCCCATATTCATCTTTTGATGTCAAACCCAAATATTTTCAGTCTACAACAAAAATAAAGGAATTGGCCTCACTGTTCCAATACTTTTGGAGGGCACTGTATACTACAAAAGCATAATCTAAATCCTGAAATTCAGTTATGGCTTTTGAGTGGCTCCATCTGGCCACCCCTGTGAAAAAATTTCTGGGGGTGCCAGTGAGCTAGAGAAAAAGCCAGGATCACCAAAGTCAGTAGTATTCATACTCTGGGGACCATGAATATCTGCACAAAATGTCATGACTATCCATTCAACTTTTATATTCCAATCAGTCACTGAATCTCTACCAGCTCCAGAGTTGCTGCTCTGTTGATTGCATACCCAGGGTTCAGGGAGAATAGAAAGTAGCCAGTTGATTGATCAGGTAGATGTGTCCTCACAAGAATGAACATAACACACACAACAAGAATCATGATTTAACTGTCTCTGTATTGACCAGGACAATCTATGTCCATGTCTCTCGTTAGTACTTGAATAGGGATGTTCATTGAGACAAAGTTGGAGTCAGCACAAAAAGGTGCAGCAGAAGAATTCTCAGACTGAACAGGGATACAACACACAATGTTTGATGAAGTGGATGTCGTTTTGTGAAAGTGTGAAAGTGAAAAGTGCTAATACCAAAAATACACTTGCACAGCATGTTTAGTTACTGATGTATTTGTTTTAGGCTGTGTTTGCTTGATTAGTGTCTTAGCCTGTTGTGCACTGTTTATTTTCCTGTTCTGACACCAAGCCTGAAAGTGTCTCTTTAGAAACCTGCAGGTGACCTCACAGACGCTACATTGCTGTGTTTCTACAGTCCCTGAACTCAACCCAAATTCAATTCAAATAACTGTTTTAAATACTCGATACTTTATGTGAATGACAAACAGGTCCCCACTCACCACTGGGCATCTCTTTCTGTTCTGCAGGAGATGTAGCGCTGGACTTGAGCTTGGTTTACCCCGTACATTGACAGCCACACCAATGCACCCCCAACAGTCAGGCTCCAGAAAGTATAGCGCTGCCGTGGGTCAACACTAAAACTGGTGAAAAACAATATTGAAGAAATGAGCGACACTCCACTTTTTACAGCCTCTTTCCATTTTAACGACTGGACTTTAAGTATAGTTGACAAAAACATCTTTTCTTTAGGTCCACTTACTAGCTTCCTCATGGATGCAAAGACTTCATTTACAATTTACAATTTCATCCCATATACAACCACCTGATATCACATGACTGAAGTTCCATGCAAAGGTCCAGTAATGACAGCTGAGCAAACCATGAGATGTGGCTGAACAGTCCAGCTGTCAGACGAAAATGTTGGCAGTTTATTCATTTTTTTCATATGTATTATATCAACATTTCTAAATTAGTAGGCAAAATGCCTGCCAAACTGCAAACTTCTTCTGACAACTGTCTGAGACCAGCAAACAACATAACCAAACATCGCTGTGTTTCCTCCCAGCAGAGTGCCGTGAAAAGCGGTTGTTTTTTACTATCTTGGCATTTCCTGCCAAGATAGCACAACTAGAAATGAATAATTTAGGCCAAAACATATTTTTCTAACCATAACCAAGGGGTTTTTGTCCCTAAACTTAACCACAAGTTAATCACAGCATTGTTAAAATGTTATGTTTCATCGTATCCACAACATAATAATGTAAAAATGTAAAGTATCAACATTTAGTGTGGTGATTCGGTTGGGATGAAAGCTCAAGAAAAAGCTGGAAAGTGGACCAGGAATTAAGACTGTTTTGGTCAAACTTGTGTTTCCCAGGTAAGGAATGTGCTTGTGTGCCTAACTGTATAGTTTTTTATTTTCTATTTTTTTGTTTTGTTTTGTTTGTTTGTTTGTTTGCCAAAATGAAGGAAAAAACTAAGAAAGTAAGTAATACAATACAAGTTGTATTTTTTTAATATCACCCTAGAACTTTCAATTGATGCATCATCATCAAAAGGTTTCTTGATACTGCTGCTAAGGAACTATAGTAGGACTGTGACAAGATTTTAGTGTGTGAGCATTTTATTGTGCACTAATGTGGAGTCATCCAGTCATTTATGTGTTGAAGTGAAAGGAGAAAAAAAAGCATTTTTACTCATCAAAATTAATACGTGATCCGTTTTTGGCGATCTCCAGTACCACTGCGGGGCCACCAACAAGAACTGTGCCATAGATGTAAATGGCAACAAAGCCCGCAAACATGACAATGATCTGGAACACATCAGTCCAGATCACAGCTTTCATGCCACCCTATAAATACAGACGATGGAAGAGACAGGCAGGAAAACATACCACAACATCTGAGACTTCTTCAATAAAAACAAATTAAAGGTAAGATGTGTTCTTCACGTATGCTGTTCCACCAGTTTCAGTGGGTGTTACAAACTTGAGAGAGACTAGTTTTTCATGCTCACCAATCAAAGTGAGCATGCTTGTCTTAGTGTTTTTGAAAAGTTCATAAAATTGGAAGGGGGTTCATCCAACAAGCACTTCAGATGAAACATATTGACATCTTACACAAAACCAGCTCTAGGAACCAATGCCTCCAAAACAACAGATGTATAAAAATTTAACTGCCTCCTCTAACTGTGGCACTGCTAAGAGGACGCAGTAACATTGACCAAACTGCTGACATACAATGCTAAATCTTTAATAGCTAGAGTGACGACATTACTGCCAAGGTGTAGCCTTTTCTAAAAGGATTGGACTTCTGTCAATTCGCATTCTGGATGCACCTTAAAAAATCAACAGAAACCAGTCCGGCCTGTTTAAGACTGATCCAATGTGCTATGCTGATTTGATGAGATGTAAGGAAATCCTTACCAGTGTGGTGTACAGGGTACAAATGATCCCAGTAGAAAACAGAGACACCCACATGTTGAGACCAGTTGCTGAAAAAAACATCATCGGTGTTAATGATCAGTGTTTAATTTACCACCTTCCTTTTACTTGTCATTATTAGTGTTTAAAAAGCGTTCACCAAACTGTGATGGCTCTCAATGATTTTGATTTTAAAATGTGTTAAACATTAAACACACTGAGTTTTAAAGTTCTGCAAGTACTCTCTACAGCAGTTCCTTAAAACTTGCTATTTAAACTTTCATTAATTCACTCACATTGTAGATGAAGCTATAATGAGATTAAATTTGCATTGGTGTGGTTGTTTGCCAACGAATTAGTATCGACAGCAAGCTAACATTATACTCACAAAATCATAAGGATGGGTGTGATGTTTTTTTCGGTTTGTAGTCACATGAATCCTATAAAAATGTCTATATAATTTCCCTCCTGGGCATCAAACAGGCCTTGAGCATGTCAGAAATTCAGCCGAATAACAATTTATTACAGTGCACTGAAACACCCCACACTGCAATATATCGCTTTCATATTTAAATATAATTAACACCTCTGCAGCTCATATTTATCCAGTGATGGAATAAGTGCTCAGAAGTAAATGTTTTGCATTCAAAACTTTACCCTTGATTGTCGGTTTCTGTTCGTAAAGACGCTCACCAGAGAAAGTACAGCCAACCCCAGATTCACATGGACAAAGTGACACCTGTCTACACAGGTGTGCCTTTAGCTGGCTTTTAAAAGAGACCAGAGAGTCAGCAGATCGTAAGGGAGTAGGCAGAGCATTCCAAAATTTGTGTGCTATGGCCGCCAAACCTCGATCATCAGGTGTCTTAAGGCGAGTATGAGGGACAGACAACAAATGTAGCGTATTAAGTGCAAGCTGAAGAATACAGGTGAAGTATCTCAGCTGCCTAAGAGGGTGCCTGGCCGTGTAACTCTCTGTAAGTAAGAATGAGAATTTGAACTGGATCCTAAACACAACAGGGAGCCAATAAAGGTATTTTAGTACAGGACACTACAGTACAACATCTATCTAAACTAGTTAGTAGTCTTGCAGCAGCATTCTGGATTGCTTGCAGTCGAGCAAGAGCAGACATACTCAGTGAGGAGAAAAGTACATTAGTCAATGAGACGATAAAGGCATGTATAATCATTTCCAGTTCAGCAGTTGAAACAACAGATCTCAGTTTACTCATATTTCTCAAGTGGAAAAAACAAGATTTGGTCAAGCGCTTTACATGTGTATCACATGACATTGATTTATCAAATATTACCCCTAAATTACGTAGGTTTGAGTGAGCAGCAGAGGAAATAGGCCCAATACTGCATAATAAGGGGGACAACTGCAAGTTTGCAACTTTACTGCAAGTAAATGATATGCAATGTTATATCTGTTCATTATTTGTCCTAATGGTAGCAAATACAGAGAAAATAACAGAGGCCAAAAAACCAAGCCCTGCGGGACACCACAGGACACAGGAGAGGAATCAGATACGAAGTTACCTATAGAGGTGGAAAAACTAGTCTAATGCTTTGCCTGTTAGGCCAGTGCAGTCGCATTTACAACCTATTGTATAGCAATCAAAAATTTTTCCTGATGTACTCTAAAATCCAATGGAAAAATCCCACAGGCTTTTTGGCAAGGGAACCAGGGCGGTGCTAACTTTCACTTCGGCTAAAAAATGTCATCCCTTCAGTGCTCTATTAATAATGTGACTCTGCAAAGGGAAACAACTAAAGCTGTCAAAATATATATAATTCAGTGAAAAGCACAATATGTGCCTCCAAAATGTGATGGGTCTGTTACTACAGGTTTGTCTTGCCAGGTTTTAGTGGTGGGTGTAAAAATGCCGGAACTCTCTGAACAGAAATACACTTAAACATGTAATGGAGTTGTGAATTCATGCTGAAAGTCAAGTATTATAATGGTGTGATTGACTGAATATCAAAGAATTGTGGGAATTACAACCCAAGGTGCATCTCTCCTACCTTGGTTAAGGATCAAGGCAGGTGCATAGATGACAATCCCTGTATATAGCAGCTGGGAAAAGGAAGCAAAATAAATGAGCACACACAACAACAATCAAAGAGTTGTACAGGTGATACTGATGATAAAGATCGTGCATGCCATGACCCTCGTGCCCTCCTCATTTGGCCTTGTGCCCTTGAAAAAAATATCTGCCCTAAGGCCACAGTGGCCTTGATGCCCCGCCCGCACTGCCCCAGGTGATTTTGCGGTTTTCTCCTCTGCCTCTTTCCTGTCAACACGGCTTTGACACCTGTGTCTATTGAGAAAAAAAAATGCGATGACATTCTGGAGTCTTAATGGGCAACATCAAATGAGACGATGCGTACATCACCAGTGGGGGGGTTTGATTAGAGCCCGGCATGAACCGCTCGGACGGGCTGTAACGACAGTTTGACACCAATCTATCACCGGCCAACCAGGAGACTTCATCAAACGCCCGGGCAGGGATCGGTACCGAGACCCGGTATTAAACAACCCAAGACAAGTTTAATCAACACCGTAATAATAGTAAGCTCCGCCATTATCTGTGACACTTTTTAAAGTTTCGGTTTCATGTATCATCATACTGCAGCCTCTCTCCTGCTCTCTGCATGTCACCCCTCACAGCGCGCACACACACACACAGACACACAAAATGAAGAGAATATAACTTCAAGATGACTCTAGTTAACGACAGCTACACTTGTTATTGTGAGTAAGTGCAATAAAACCTCTGCCAGCCAAGCCAATACTTTATCAATACATGTGATCAGCATGTAGAAAGCCACATTTCAGTCTGCTCTGTCCGCAGTCTCTCATTCACCGCTATTATGATTTACGATCGCGGTCGACACAAGCACATCGCACTCGCGGTGCTAATAGCAAAGTGTTACAGACTTAAAACTAAAATGAAAGCTGTCTGTATGTAGGCTAACACTTTATCTGAAGATGTACCTGAGGCAGCCGACCTGCACACAGTGAGTGTCCTCAGTCGAGGGGGGACAGAGAACAGGATGAATGACTGATACTGATGTTTGTCTTCATGCTGAGATAACGTGACTTTCTTCACTCAGTATTGTGATGTCAGGAGGAATATTTATATTCCAGTGAGATATTATTGGGTTTTAAATAGTGACTTTGTTGTAAACATGAGTGTTGCTGCCATGGACTGTATAAAACTATATCCTGTGTAACTGACCTGTAAGGAAAGCATCAGGAGGTGAGGTGTGTGCATGTGTGTGTGTGTGTGTGGAGGAGAGGGGAGAGGGAGATGCTGGTAGAGAGATAGTGTGTGTTGTTAGATACTGTTAATGTCTCTTATTATGCTTCTGTGCATTGATAGCTCTTTTTTATTCTGTTTCTGCATCGTGCTGAGGAGGGCCATACCTGTGTATATATAAATATATGTATGCAAAAAAAAAAAAAAAGTGGATCGGTTGCTCGCTGCTAAAAATGTGGCCCATCGGCATGATCTGGTTTTGATATGTGGCCCAGTTGAAAAAGTAATTGAATAGCCCTGCTGTAGTTTGTTTGTTTGTTAGCTATCTAACAACACATCAAAAATAATTGTAAGCCAGTCTTGTTCAGTGAATCAGTTTATCATGTACACTCAAAAAAATATTTAGGCCTAATATTTAAGATTGTTTGCTTATAAATACATGAACCTGGTTGTTCTATATTTAAAACACATTGGGTTTATTAGTGCTATTAAATAAATCACATTATTACTTATTATACTCATTATTACTTGAGCTTGTTTTATTTACTCATTTCACAGATAGGTATACATCGTTAGTCCTTAAATTCATTATGAACGTGGACTTAAAATCATCGTATCATTGTATGGCCTTGCTGCCCTGGCTTTTGGCCTTTGTGCCCTCAAAAAATTGATAACACGAAAGGCCAAGTGGCCTTGCCCCTAAAATGACAAAATTCCAGGCCCGGTGACGAATGTTCCGAAAATGTGGCATCCTCTTTAAAAACACTGAATACAACTTTGTTTCAACAAGGCAGACTGCACAGTGATGTCTTGCTTACCGTTGCCACCACAAATTGGACACTCCCCAGCAGCTGCATCCCTCTGCCAAATCTCATCTTCAGATACTATGACAGGCAGACGGCTGGAGTCAGAACACAATATCTCTGCGCACATCCCTCATCTCTTCTCACCTCATATTCATCCCACACATCAGACCCACAGGTGCACTTCAACATTGTGTCAGAGAAATTCTGCCTTTCTTTCTACACTATGATTGGTTAGAAATACCTACTCTTATTTTGGGTAATTGAATTCCTATTTTTTTGTGTTTGTTTGTTTAAACCCTCAACTTTAACCATTCTCTTGTATCTAATTCTTGTGGGACATCTAATTGTTACATAGTTTGGTCCAAATCTACAACCATTACCATCAAAAACTCATAAAACAGTACTTTGATGACTCTTTAAGAATTAATTGCTTCTAAACAACACAAATGAAAATGTTTAAATTTTTGCTGATAGGTTACGTGAAACCACTCCACATTATGCTCCTTTTCAATTCATGACAATAACTGGGCTAATAACTGGAGTCTTATTATCACCTGATTAGTGCTGGTGATGCCCAGTCGAAAGAAAACTGGCAGGAAGAGGAAAGCTGTCAGCAGGGAGTTGATGCTTTGTCCGAGGCACATGTAGAGGAATTTAAAGCCATAGCGAGAGGCCTCGGAGGGAACACCCAGAACCTGGACTGCCGACATAAAACTGGCACAGAGCGACAGTCCAACGGGCACTGCCGGCATGCTCCGACCCCCTGTGAAGAAGTCATCAGCAGTGGCGTCCCCTGGTCTCTTCTTCAGGGCCTGGAAGAGTCCGATGGCCATGGAGACCAACAACATGGCAGCAAAGACTGCATAGTCGGCCAGGACAAAACCTGCAGGCTCCTCTTCCATTCTGTTACTTTGATGCCTTTGTAGTTTGGTTCATGCAGATCTGTTACAGTCAGAGTCTATTAGTGACCATGATGGAGACACGAGGCATGAATGTGATTTACTCTTAGTGAAAGCTGTAGAACTTTTAAAGCTCAAATGTGTCTTCCTCGTGACAGCAGGTAGCAAAAAGCAAATGTGGGGCATCAGTAAATGTAGAAATTTCTTATATCTATCTGACTTAATACTTTAGAGTGTAAAAGAATAACATTTGTTAAGCTACCCAGTGACAAAGACTGTTGTAGTGTAGGACATAGAGCGGATCGTCCACTAATTCCACAATGTTGGCAGTTGGATCCCTTGTCTTGCTGTCCATGTGTCAGAGTGTCCTCAGGTAAGACACTCCCCCAATCCCAAATGGATCCCTTACAGACTCATTGACTCAAGCCCTAAGCCCTTACAGACCAAGGACCAATTCCATTTCTTTCCCTTAGCCCTTGTCTTGGCCCTTCCCATTGGTTTTGCGCGTTCATGTGAGGGGAAGTGGTGTCCCAATTCTCCATCAGTGCTCTGAGGGTTAAGCTGGCACACTGAAGGCTATCGGTGTGCAAATGAGAGGTAAGTCGCTATGTGAATGTAGTTCATTTATCAACAAAAAAGTTACATTAATATCCTTTTTTCATACCAAAATCCAAGTGTATAAAGGTTGAAATTAATTGGGGTAAAGAAAGTTAGAAAAGGGCGTCAGTGGCTTAGTGGATAGAGCAGGCGCCCCATATACAAGGCTGTTGCTGCAGCGGCGTGGGTTTGACTCCAGCCTGTGGCCCTTTGCTGCATGTCATTCCCTCTCTCTCTTGCTCTCTCTCTCTCTCTCTCTCTCTCTCTCTCTCTCTCTTTCCCCCCTTCACACTTAGCTGCCCTATCAATTAAAGGCCAGAAAATATCTTGACAAAAAATAAATAAATTATAAAGTTATAAGTATCCTCCTAGAGCAGCACAATGTCCTCTCATTGGTACATTATTCAAGTCAACTTTCAATTTATTACTGTTAATAATCTTTAGTATGTAATTAACCTCTGATAACTGATCCAGAGCTGATAAGAATGAAGGTACTGCAGATTAAAGGTGGTCATTTAATCAGTTTAAAGAGTTGCAGCAAATAAGTAATAAGATCAGTTTCAACACTTACAAAGTTACCTGCATTGCATTTGTTTAACTGAAACTTGAATTAAAACCTTAAAAGACTCACCATTGTTGCTCCATTCCGTCCTGTTGCTTCCACTCAGTGAAAGAGGAATGTGCTGACAGAATCAGCAGCTGCTTCATCTCGCATGCGGGCATGCGTGAACTCCTTTCCCTCCCTCTTCTGCTCTATAGAAGTAACTCAGGTGTGTTTAATGACAAGGTGGTTGCGTAGTCATATATATTTATAGTGGAAAGGAAAGTGATGGACAGGTGGCTCATGCTGATCATCTTAAGGACTTTCAGGAGCCTGAAAGTAGTTGGCTGTGTGTGTGTGTGTGTGTGTGTGTGTGTGCTTTATGATAACGTTTACTTTGTGTGCGTATGAAAGATGTAATGTTATTCTGTATGATAACTGTCTGGGTTCCGAGTTTAGTCTTTTCACCATGTAAGACTTTCTGTACTGTACTGTAATAATGTGCTGATTAATTTCTTTATCCATCAGTAATTGTTTAGGCTATAAAATGTCAGAAAAATAGTGAAAAGTCTACATCATAATTCCCAAGAGCTCAAGCTGGCTACCTCAAATGTCTTGTTATGTCTGACCACCAAAAAGATATTTAGTTTATCATCATAAAAAAATCATAAAACATGAAAATATTTACATCTGAGAACCTGGAACTACAGAAATTTTCACAATTGAGAGACTTCCAAAATATTAATTGATCATGAGAATCAATCTATAGGCTATCTATTTCCCTTATTTGATCTCACTTAAGAAGGGTAATCCTCGGGCACATGCACAGTTAGACCCCAGGTGATGCTCAAGCATTTTTTTGCTGGCAGACAGAAACTTTGCACTTTGCATTTGCACGATTTTTTGTGCGTGCAAAAAAGCTAAGCTTATGTTTTATTTTATGTATTTTTTGTCATTATCTATTTGTATTGCCTTTGCAGCTGTTGTCAGAGATAAAATTAGATCCAATATATTGAAAAAAAGTTCAAATCTCTCCACCAACCAGTAGCTTTTTCTGTTTTGATGTTGTCAATGCTTATTTCCTCAATGGAGTAGTTGTCCATTATCTTATCTCAAGGCTATTATCTTATCTGTCCTCTGCTACTTGTGCACTTGACCCCATGACTTGCAGTTTTCTGAAGATGGTCTTTGACTGTTTGTCGCCAGAGCTACTGCACCTAATGAACCTCTCCCTCGGAGTGGCTGTATCACAGTGACTTCCAGCATTGCTTTGGTACGAAGAAAAGCACATTTTCAATTGGTTTATTTTCAGCTGTGACACTTAAGATCCTTTTAAATTGGCTTCTGATCAAACATAACACAGAAAGCTCTGTTAAATGATATCAGAATAGATTTGAAAACCAGATAAATATCTATAATGGGACATATTGATCTCAATGCTGCATTATATAGTCAGTCATGATCTATTTATAGAAAGGTTAGAAATATTGGGCTCTCTAGCATATTTCTACTAATTTAGGTCTTATCAGGTCAAGATAACCTTGTTCCCTTTGAGAAGTTCTGATCAGAAAGAGGAAATATTTCTTGTGGTGTGCCCCAAGGTTTAGTCCTGGGCCCAGTTCTTCTCTGTCTATACATCCTGCTATAAAGGACACAGTTTGGTTTCAGAAGTGGAGGGAACACAAAGAGATATACACAATAAAGTATACATAAATTGGTCATTGCACTGTCTGTACTAATGTTAGTATAAGTTACAAACATAAAAGTAGAAATGCTAAAAAGGTTTATGCACTAACCCTACTTAAAATCATGTTTAGTCTTCTTGATAGAGTTCTAATAATTTAGGATAGATGCTGAATTTGCACCATCAAAAACACTGTGCTGTAATGCTTTGATTGATGTTCAATTCTATTCTGAAAATTTTAATTTTAAATTTTCATTGTCGTAGCCTACTGAATAAAAAGTGTTACATTTGTGTAGACATTTCATCAGCTAAATGTGCCTCATATGGCCTATCACCTTTTCTTTTAATATTTTTTAAACCTTTATAGGGGTGGCTTGTCTTGAATCTCACTAGCTAAGCTTACTATGGATTCCAGATAAAATATTGGTCTTGAAGGACAATAGAGAATTTAACAGTGTGTGGACAAACACTTTGCTTTTACCACCAACCCTACAAAGTTAAAGTACCCAATAATCATACAGAGCTCTCTAGTAGTCACTTTGTGGTAAAGCATTAATAAATGCTCATTTAGACTTACTAGTAATGTTGTTAGGCGAATTTAGACCTACTGTTACCTTCATTATAAGGCTCAGATGTGTTTTGCGGCTCCAGTCAGATTATTTGAAAGCTTTTTTGGCCAAAAATGACTCTTTATAGTAGAGGCTGCTGACCCCTGTTTTAGAGGAATATACTGTAGAGCTCCCTCATCTGGAATATGGCAGCTGGACAGTTGGAGGACACTGTTCAGACAGAATTTAGAAAAACCTGAAATTCTAAAAGTGAGAATATCATTGTCTATTCCTCGAAAGGAAGTTAAACTCTTGCCTGCCGTGTAACATTCTAGTTCAAAACTGGGACTCAGCTGCAGAATAAACATATGAAGGCAGCTAGCGACGGCAGAAAAGTCCATTCAGGGAAATCACACAAAATACAGAGTCCATAAATGAAACGAGCAGAGTCAAAAACCAAGAAATCAAACATGAGGAAAAGGCTGGAACACATGAACACACTAGCGTGACAATGACACTCTGGCAACTGAATGGAGTAAACACTGGGCTTTAAATACACAAGAGTTGTTTGCTAAGTCCACACAGGTGAGTTGAACAAGACACAGGTGAAACACATGGACCTTTTTGACATCCTAGCAAAACCACAGGTGAAACTGAAAACGTTAACGATGGCTCAGTTCCATTAAGAATGCCAGCGAGCTGTTCCAATGAGCCAGCATGCACAATACCAGCACCTCCCCTGAATGGAATGCTGCTCTCATTAATGTCATTAAACACACCTGTGCTTTTCCTACCATGACACGTCAAAATGTCTGCCGTGAAATAAGGTCTATTGGGTAATTAACAAAGGCAGGAAAACTCAGGAAGTAAAACAGTCATATTTTAGTCATAGTCATATTTATTAGCTCTTCACCACAATTGTAGTATGGAGTACAAACGACAAAAAACAAAACAAACAGTAAACAGTCAGAATGAGTCATCACAGATCAAAATAAAGGACCAACCAAGGCAACCAAGCCTGCAATCAAGTTTGACTAAACACCAACACATGATGAGAAGACCTTTCAAAATAAAACAGGAGGCAGACACAAACACATGAACATAAACTTGACAGAATATCACATGCAGTGAAGTTCTTACATCTATAAACATGCTTTGTCTATGAAAAAACACAAAGTGTAAAAAAGACAGTTTCATGCGCCATGTGCACCAGAGTATTTCTTGGCTAAAAGCAACTCTCTTCCTCTCAGCAAACAAATAGTCTGTCACGAAACCATCTGCAAAATAACAAAGATTGGGTTTTGCTGTGTCACGGTCCACGCCTGTCATGATGTGATACAACTGACAGCACAAGCAGTTACACAAAGACATCACATAAGGAAAATCATAAAACTGAAATAAAGTGAAATCCATAAAACAAATCTATAAAAGTATAGCTCTTGGAAACAAAGGTTAAGGATCATATTGTATATTATATAATATTGTATATTAAGCCATTTGGTTTGTTGGTTGATTCAATCAAAGAAAGTCGACTTTAGTCTTTGACTGTAAAACCTGTGTTTTCTTTGGTCTTTATTCTGGATCTTGAAACAACCTCAGGTGTACAGGTAGGCTCTGAGGCTTCATACACATCTGCTCCATAAGGTCGGGGGAAAGGGCACTAAAGAAGGGTTATGTGGTAAATCTTTAAATCAGTTCTAAGTTTCTTAAAAGAGTGAACCAACAGACAAGATATGATTCATACTGAATTGTAACAGAATGCTTAATGTATTTTCTCAAGTGTAGAAAAGTTGACTACTATGTTGCAATGTGAGCCGTTATATATTTTATGCCGTCGTGAAACACTGTGAACCAGTTAATTCATAAAAACATTCAGAATGATGAGTTTTGGTGTAAAAAGACACATGTAGGTGGGAAAACAACTGACATTTCACCAAGTCCCTTTGTGATGGTTCGACAAGCTGTCAGAGTAAGCATGGAGCCCACACTGTAACTAACTGCACTCCCTGTAGAAATATTATCATATTTTTGGAAAAATGAAACAGTGATTCCAGAGAGAAGCAGACAGAGGGGTCTACAGTCTGTGTTTGAAGGATATATCCAGGATGTCAAACTGACTCAGCAGCAACAACAGGTTAAAAAGACAAAGATAGTTAGAAGCTAAAGCCAAACTATAGGCTACAGATCACAGTGTAAAAGTGAACCACCACATCACTGCTGATCGCCACACAAGACAATGAATATAAAGGGAAACTTTGCTGATACTGAACCAGCTGTGTGGCATCGCAGTGTGTGCAGATGAACGGTGTTGGCTTCACCCCTGTGCTGCTGCCAGCACCTGAACCTTCCTCTCTTGGGGAAGTCAAACAACATTCATCTGCGCACACTGCGATGACACACAGCTGGTTCAATATCAGCAAAGTTTCCCTGCTTCCCTTCACTGGTTCCTGTACAGCAGGGTTGGTCTTTGTTTCACTGTTATAATCATTAAAAAGCAAAAGCAGCATGTGTATACATTCAGTAGGCTATATCTTCAGTAGCTAGCTAACCCTACACTTTGCAGGGTTTGATTTTGGTTTTGGAACAGGGAAGAAACGTATATCTTCTTCCAGCCTCTCCAGGTAACGAGTATCATTAATACACGACATGCCCCAGGCACAACACTCCAAATCCACAAAACCAGCCTTAAAATGAAGGAAGTCTGAAACAATTGTATTAGAGTCAATGGAGCACAGCTGTGTTGTTGTCAGACCTTGGTCTGAGCTGACCCGATGCTACAATATGATTGGCGAGTTTGTGACCGGTGGTGTGACTTTGTGAAGGGTCAGATCAGCCTCTGTCTCTGCTCGTATAGGGTGCAGTTAGTGAACCCAAAGAGTTAGATATTTTAATAGTACTTTAAGTCCACAGCAGTACCAAACAATACTGAGGCTTAGGGCAAACTCTATCATTACCTGGCTGTCCAGGAAGACAGGTCAGGGAGACATGATGCTGCTTTGCAGGGCACTTGATTTGCATGCAGCTGCCAAAAGTGAAGGTGAAGAGGGAGGGTAAAAGAGCAGGTGCCTGAGCACCACCTGGGGGTCTATCTCTGCATATGCCTGCTGCACCATCAAGTTGTCTGTCCAGTTTTTAGGTTTAAGACTAAATACCTGAAAGGTTAAAGGTTAAAAACATTCCCATCAGTCTCATCTGTAGATTGTGTTTAATGCTAATTAGCAAAGGTTAGCATGCTCACATGCATCACTAGTCACTGTTAGCATGTTAGCATTCGGCCAAATCACACCTGCTAGTATGAATGTGGCCCAGATGTAAAATTTTCAAGTGAGAAAATGTGACGACTTGAATTCAGTCAGTTTAAGTAGATTCCAATGGTGACATATTTTCAGGGTTTCAAAAAGTATCCAAATCAGTACATGTAATCAGAATAAATTAATAATTACAGGAACATGCAATCCAAACATTAAAATGTTTGCAGTTTAGGCCAGGTGGTTTTCTAACAGCTGTAACAGGAAACTGCTAAAACACTGAGTACTGAACAGGGAAACCACAGCTGTCAGCTCTTTCCTGTAATGTCAGATGAGTTGATATCTGCTCTGAACTGCATTTGCTTTTACCAGAGAAAGACTATCATTTAATGCAAATCTTAGATCACTAAATTATGAAGAATCATCCACAGATCTTCCTGTGTGAAAGCACTCTCTGACCGCTGAAAGTATCATTCCTCAGGGCTGGTGACAGTTTTACTGATTTTTGTTGATTCAGAGTCAGTGGACTTTAACTTTGCGGGATAGGTTCAGGATTTAAGATTTTTTCAGGGATTTTTGTGGCGTAATAGAAGACAAATTTGCCCTATTTCTGCCGATTCGTTTTTCTTTGTTGCTTTTGCCAATTGTGACAACCTGCCTTGTTCACTCCCCCCTGACAGAGTCTACATATTTTTTAGAACTCAGCACCTGGACATAAAAGATGTGAGTGTCCTGCACCGTGATTTCATCTCAAATTCTCCATCAGGGTGCCAATAAAGACTTTGTTCTCAACCTACATGAATGTACAACAAAACTTAGGACTACAGCTTCACTGTGGTAACTCATGGAGACTGTGATATTAAATACACCCCATAATGTAAAAGTTATAAAAGATGGTGTTGATTCTGCTTTTCTGTAATCTGAGGGTTGAGTTTGAGGAAAGGTCAGGGGGTCAGATTCAAATCATATCAAATAAGATTAATCTCCTTGCAAATTTCATAGCAATCTGTAAATTCAGATTACAACATTATTGAATATGATGAGTGAATGACTTATTTGATACTTTGACATCATGGTGATGGTAATATGATTCCAAATCTGGGCAAAACAAACAAAAATGCAGTCAGTAAATTTCATGGCATAGCTGAAAGTTCGAGAATCCTCCTCTGGGGATCATAAATATCTGCTCTTGACCTTTTTGAGAAATCATGGACCACAGTTTGTGTGAGTAAAGGAATGCATAATGTTGAATATCTTGATGTTAAATGTTCTCCATGATATTTAATAAACCATAAATATCTGATCAGCTGTTGTTGACATATCTTGCATTTAAAGTTTTGGACAGGCACAGCCACCCTCTGAGCCGACATAATATTTTTTGTGCAAAAAAGTGTTGCACTAACATTGATGTAATGATTATGTATACAGCACCTGACATTTTGAATCCAATGACTCTGAAAAATTACGTATTTTTCAATTTTTGTAAGTGTAACTGCGTCAGCTCAGTCAGTGGGATGAAAACAGTTTGACAGTTGACGAAGTTGATCTGCTTGTCTAAATGAGGAAATCCTATAGAACTTCCTGCCAACACACACACACATATCCACACACACACACACAGACCTAGTTTACAGGAACTATTCATCGAAACAAGGACTTGACGGACACATGAAAAGGTAACACAAACCAATACCTTGAATTACGCATAATATTGATCTTTAGCTCTAGAATCTGTGAGTATAAAGCTGCTGTGCTTTGTTAGGACATGTCAGACTTTCATTTTATATCGACAAGGCCCACACTACACTGTGGAGACTAGTCTAAGGAAGTCCGTCTAGAGAGAGTTTGTAGGGTACTTGTGACATTTTAACAACTTAGTGGCCGAGTTTCAGCAATTCAGTTGTTTTATTGATTGTTTAGTTGATCATTCTCAATGAATACGCTTTTCCAAATGTTACAAATAATCCACAAACTATCTGTGGGCAGACTCACCAAATATAGCAATACCGAATGTGCTTCTGTGTTTCAGCTGTCAGTGGCTCTTATATAAGGTTTGTTTATTGATCAGCTGCCAAATGAAAGTAATCTGATGTGTAGTGTTATCAAAGTAAACAAACTAATCATAGAAATGTGGAACACCATTATGTATTATTAAAGAGTATTTTAACATACTGTGTTCGTGATGTAGCTACAGCAGAACATGGTGAGCAGTTTCATTTGATACAACGGGAATTCCCACAAATCTACATCTGACATTTAAAAGCATCACTCTCAGTCATAGTGGAAATTTTCCACACATGAGTAAATAAATATTAGTATACAAATAAGTGACGTTCATTACATTATGAGCCTGTGTATATGTGGTATTAACACGTGTCTGGGGTGATCTGATCACAAGTGGACTAAATATAAGTGCAAACAGCCACCAAGATTCATTGTGGTGGTCTGGGCCGTGTATGGCCACATTCTGTCAGTGTGAGCACTAACGTGTCCTGGGCCACATCACATGCAGCGCAACGATCAAATAAAATTTTACTTATTTTAGATAACTAAAGCTTTTAAGTGTGCATATACAAACTTTCTACCAGTTAAAAACAACAGCACATTTGTTCTTTGCAAACGGGAATGATTCCTGTGTTTATTTGAGTAAAGAGCAGGGAAGCCAGATGCGTAGGTGTTAACAGACAGACGTATGACTGTCCACTTGTGATCCAGTCAGCCATGACTCAGGCTCAGACTCTATGACACATCCCATAACAGTAACAGTTTGAGTGTTAGCTCTATGAATGGGAGGCAATGGGAGGGTTTCTCATAAAGTTTTGGGAGGATAATATGACTGTGAATCATTTTTTGTCTTCTCTCAATAACAAATCATACAAACCACATGAATTTGTGTCAGCTCACCCAACCTGCTGACTAAATAATCACTAACTGTATCACTCAATGAGAAATAATAATAATAAAAAGTCTGCTGATTTTGCCCTCAGAAGTACACATGGATACCAGTGAGGAGGAGTCGGTCCCGCTGGTGATCAGAGACCGGGGAGGCAGCCAGAGGTCCAGTTCGAGCACTGGTTCCAGTTTACAAGTACACCTCTACTTCTTCCCAGCCACAAAGGATGCAACAACAATACATATTTCATCTGGCCAAATATCTGCTGAAAATGTCTGTATCCAAGCTGGCAAAAAATGTGGTAAGACTTCACTGGCAAGGCTGAAGGCTTCACAACACTTTATGTATTTTGTGCTCGAATGTTTTTCTTCTCTTGTATTTAGTCTTACAAGTGTGCAAAAAGCTCATTTCAGGGGAAGTCATGATAGCATCACCATGATGATGTATGTAATCTCTTACTCCAGGAATCTTACCAGTGTACCAAAATCTTTTTGGTTTGGCATCTGCCGATCTCTCGTTGTGGTATCCTCCGTCACACATGTTCAACACAGACGAAAACTTACAAGTCCACTTTAGAGTCAGGTAGGTGAAAGACTCGCTCATTTACTTTGGAAAGTATTGTATATTACACTATGTTTTTTTGAAAGTCCATAAATGAACAATTTTGTTCTCTGTACTTGGTAATAATGTCGTGCTATTATGAATGATGGATTAATTTTCTACGCGCAGGTTTTTCTTTGGAAACTGGTTTGGACAGGGACCAAGAACATCATACCGCTACAGTCTGACCAGAGGCAGAATAAGTCCAGTGCTTGACTACAGTGTCATTGACTACGTCTTTGCCCAGGTAAAGTGTAAAACATTTTCTAAAATATAATATACTGAATCACTACGATATAGCCATTAATTGTGCATTTCATTCTAATGTAGTATAATTGATGTTTTTATCAGTATTTGTGAGATTTTTGGATATAATTACCAATACTCTTAAAGTATTCTTCAATTTGTTCATATTTATCCACAATGTCCTACACATTACGCTGGTGTAATGTGTAGGACATCCTCCTGACATGCTATACAAAAGAGAGAATGATCAAGTTAAGGGAGAAGCACAATATGTCTGATGTTCTTTTAATGACTCATTGCCACACAGTTATCCTTCTCAGCCAACATTTCAACATCTCAAAATGTATACAATAAAGCATAAAAAATGCATATTTTGAATTGAAGTGTAAAACAGAGAAATGTCATAAATATTTATATGTATTGTCCATATACTAAAGACCATGTCAATCACTGATTTCTTTGGTACATAGTTGCGAAGCGACTTTATCGCCAGTGAGGCAGGAGTGTGTCCACCTTTGAGTGCCCAGGAGGAATGCCTCGGCCTTGCAGTGCTGGACTTGTGGAGGATGGCTAAAGAGCGCAATCAGAGTGTAAGAGAGCTCTGCAAGACTGTCAGGTACTTTAAATTTGGATAATGTTTGTTTTGCCAAAATTGGGCCTTACCAGTCTTATAGTTTGCAGTCATAACAACAAATTTTATACTCTTCTTCTTTCAGCTACAAATCGTGCCTTCCTAAGTCACATCGCCACGACATCCAGAGACGAAACCGCCTCGATCGTTATCGAATACGAAACACCCTCAAGCGTTTCTTAAAGAAGCTTGGCAACTGCTCAGTGGATGAGTGCAGCTTGAAGCTCAAGTACCTGATTGAACTGGCAGGTATTGAGCCTTCTCTGGGAAGTGAAACCTTCCAAGTGAATCCATCTTCCTCCCAATCGAAGTCAGCTTTCTCTCTTGTGCGGGTCACCGGGGAAAATGGAATTGAAACCAGCAGGAGTTGTCAACATGATGGTGCCCTGGTAAGAACATGTTCAGTTTAAGTTTGGATAGGAATGACGCACAGTGGTCAATGAGTCTTTCACCTCAGCAAATGATATGCAAACTACCCCCTTTCAACAAGAATCTGCCAGTCAAACTGCACTGGGCTGTTTCACAATTTAGTGTCCATATGCAAAATGTAACCCTTCATGCTTCAGTGGCCATACTCATATTCTTTTTCTTTTTTGGGAGTGGCAAACCTTCTGTGACTTCAAAGAAATCATCGACATCAGTATAAAGAGGGTATGCCATGAGCAGGTCCCCCAAGACTGCAGGATGGTGACAATAACCCGTAAAGATGACAGATGCTTGGTAAGGGATATATTCTACAGTCAACACTTCCCAGTCATTAATGTCCATTAATTCAAAACATTATTAACTTTGTCAGATTTTACTGTTTTGATTTGATGCAAAGGATCTATTAAATCTTTTTATTCTTGATTTACATGACAGGTAGCCAACTTCCAGACTCTCAAGGAAGCCGTTTCATTTGTGTCTCTTGTTGATGGCTACTTCAGACTGACCACCGACTCGAGCCACTACTTCTGTCAAGACATTGCTCCTCCAAGTCTTCTGGAGGGGATCAAAAATCACTGTCATGGCCCAATCACGTGAGTCATTTTGATGAATACTGAATCCAATATCATCATTCACATCCAACTGTTTTAGATATTACCTTCATATCTTGTTTGATCAGATCAGAGTTTGCAGTCAGTAAGCTGAAAAAGTCAGGATTTAAAGGCGGCACGTTCCTTCTCCGGCAGAGTCCCAAGAACTACAACAGCTTCTTCCTCACTGTTTGTGTTCAGGTAAACGTTTCTGTGGAAGAAACATAATAGATTATAGAAAAATACTGACTTAGACTAACTACATGAATTTATTGTGAGGAATAATTTACTAGCTATGTCTGTGCACATTGTTATGTACCTTATGGACCTAATAAACAAACATGTATTCAGTTTGTCACAAACTTAACAGAGTTGCAAAAACATGAATTTGAAAAGATTGTTATTGCGAGCACCGTTTCTGGAAATGGCAGGTCTCACCACAATCATAAAAGTTTATCTCTATGCAGATGATGCACTTATTTCTAAACAGAAATAAACTTACAACTTTTGCACTTTTCAACTTTCTCTGAACTCTACTTAAGACTCAAACATTCAGTGTTGTGAAGCTTTGATCTGACATTTATATTTATGCAGACTCCACTTGGACTTGACTATAAGGACTGTCTCATCATTGAGAATGAGGACTACAGTCTTCCTGGTGTCCAGAAATCATTTTCCAGCTTAAAAAAGCTCACCAGCTATTACCAACACAACAAGCTGCTACTGGCTGAAGTACCTGTCAAGTTGGGCCGCTGCTGTCCACCCCAACCCAAAGGTGTGTTTCCCAAGCCATGGATATGATGATATTACCATATATATATGGTGCATATATAGGAGTGAATCTGTAGCTTTGTTAGTAAGTGTTAGCCCTAATTTTTTCCTTATTTCATTCTCATCTATGTACATATGTAGTCGTTAATAGTCTTAAAATGTGGTTATGTACCGTGCTGTGATTATACATATGTACTGTACTGTATCTCAACACAGCACAGACTGTTTGTTTTTTTCTTACACAGACATTTTAAGAGAACTTTGAGGGCGGGGTGGGCAGCAGAGACTTTGTCTAATTAGTGGTAAAAGTCTGATTCAATGGCAGAAAATCCTGCCAAAAAAGTTTCTATTCCAGCATTGGCAACAACTTATACTGCAAAGCAACCCAAAAAAAGGAAGACGGACTTATCAAAAAGAGAGTCTAAATTCTGACAATAAATGCAATAAAACCCTATAAAGTGTGCGCATATCTCTGTGCTTGTCTGGTGGGAGAGGCTTAGAAAAGAGAGGGGGAGAGCTAGTGTATTTTCAAATTCTGGTATGCTCAAAAAAACTGACTATCCCAGCTTTAAGTATGTTTACAGCCACACTAGTGTGCCAGATGAGATATTTTTGAATTCCATTTCCATTTTTTGTGCATTCAGACATTGTGTCCTGGTTATAGCCATGTGCTGTATCCATGTTTTCAGAAAACCAAGTACATTTTGGCTGTGTTATTTCGAAAGAAACCAGCACACTGTTGCAATAGGCCAACATGTAAATGCATTAATTATCACCCTTTAGTGATCATTTATCAACTTCACATGTCATTGCTTGCTTTAACTGAGATATGCCCATTCATATTTGCAGCCTTCATATAAAGAAACATGTTTTCTGCCATTTCTACAGAGCTCACAAATCTGATCATTATACGCAACAGCAGCTCTGTAGAAGCTCAAGGGTCCCCAACACCTGAAAGGAGCAAATTCAGCCATATCCAGTTTCACATGATCAAATATGAAGACCTGAAATGGGTGAGTGTGGGACTCTTCTTTCTTACCACTTACCATTACAGCTACTATTTTGTGACAAATGTTGGCACTACGGCCTCTATTATGATACTGTAGTCAAGCTAATGTGAAAGATACTTTGAGGATAGAATGTTGTATATGATGTAGGAAACTTAGTTTCTCTATGTGTTTTTTTTTTCTTTTAGGGTGAAAGCCTTGGACAGGGATCCTTCACTCGGATCTTTAAAGGCTACAAAACGGACATTCGTGATGGGGAGAAACACGTGACGGATGTTTTCCTGAAAGAGCTCGATGCTGTTCACAAAAACTGCTGGGAGGTGGGTTTCTTCAGATTAAAATGCACTGAAACATTTTATATTTTTGTGGATTACTCGTGGATCTAACACATTCATTTAAACATGATATACATGCTGTTTTTTGTGTTTTCCTTCTCAGTCCTTCTTTGAAGCTGCCAGCTTGATGAGTCAAATTTCACATAAACACCTCCTCCTTGTTTATGGTGTCAGTGTTCATGGAGTAAAAAGTAAGTTCAAACCAAACTGTAACCAACTTGTAGACTATCTATTATTTTGCCACAGTGTGATGATCATTTTTTTGGTTGACTGCTTTATGTTTTCTAGATGTGTTTATGTTCTGTGAATAGTGTGCAGGAATTGGTACAAAAGGAAATTAAAATCAGATTGTATTGGGTTAATTTTGGCTCAGATGGTAAGCATTTAAAGACTCTGTTTCTGCAAAATTGTGTGCATCTGTAAACAACAAAGTTACTTGTGAACCAGTAAATGAATTAATGAAAATATTAAATCACTTTCTTCATATTGAGCCGAATAACTATCTTCGCATGGAGTCCTCATATGACCCCAACTCAGTCCCTTCTCTACGGGTGAGCATGACAAGTTTTGAAGTACAGCTGTAGAAATAAACCTTGCTGTGTGCTTACAGACATCATGGTGCAGGAGTTTGTTGAGTACGGGGCCCTCGACCTTTACTTGAAGAGAGGCAGATCTGTGTCAGTGAGCTGGAAACTTGACGTAGCCAAACAGCTCGCGTCTGCCCTCAACTTTCTGGTAAGATCAGCTTTCTGGTGTAGAGCATTACTACTAGATCCTACAAAAAGTAGTGACAGAAACACAGAGCAGGAGTGGTTAAAAGCTGTCCAATGCGGCACATTATAATGAGCCACCATTATCATGCAACTGTCTTGCAGGAAGAAAAGAACATCGTTCATGGAAATATCTGCGCCAAAAATCTGCTGCTGGCCAGAGAGGGTGACCCATCACAGGGCAGCTCTCCCTTCATCAAGCTGAGTGACCCAGGCATCAGCGTGGCCATACTGGGCATGGATGGTAAATCAAGGAGGGTTTTGCAATGTCCCTGTAACCATGTCCAGAGTCTTAGGGCAGTTGTGAAACTGCGCCTACTAGGGGTAATGAAAAAGTTTGTCTTATGTGCGTCCGTACAATACACAAGAAAGGACAGCAGAGAAGATATCCACGGATATCTGAAATAAATTGGCTCTTTTTTGCATTGGTCTCAGCCTTTTTGTGGCTGACCAGGCCAGTTGCATCGGTTTGCGGGTATCTTCCCTGCCGTCCTTTCCTGTAACCTTGTCCGACATCATCACATCAATTCAAAGCACATATAGACCATTTTAAACTTGACAACATTACCGTTCTTAATGGGTGCAAGTGCATTTCCTGTTGAAATGTCCATAAATGCAGTAGCTGAAAGGAAGTGAGACGGGACCAAAGCTATTAACCATTTCAGTGCAACTGAATAGCAATGAAATGGACTACGTGTGCATGACAATCAGAAGAATGAAGGAAATTGAATCAACTGAAAGTGTAGTTAAGACTAAATATCGGTATTCTACATCAAGATGATATTGCCATGAAACATTTCAAATATGTTGGATTTTGGTTACATAACAACCCAAATGAAATCCATCAAAATATCAATGTCATCTGTCATCATCAATCTAATTCAACATCAGCTGATGGTGGCATTAGACATTGTCCTGAAATTGAATTTTGGACCCTGATGTCACGACCTAAATTCAGCCAAATATCAACATTGAAAGATGGCAGTGGCCAGCTGGAAAGACTTTACATCATAACAAAATTACATTTGTATCAGCCAAGTACATTTAGAATATTATATCTACTCTTTTGTGCATTTTTCATGTGTGTAAGTATATATTTATGTGTCTCCTTGTTAAGTGATCCTGGACAGGATCCCCTGGGTGGCCCCTGAGGTGCTTGAGGCCCCAGACAACCTGACTCTGGAGTGTGATAAGTGGAGCTTTGGTGCCACCGTGTGGGAAATCTTCAATGGTGGAAACGCTCCGCTGCGAGGCTGGGAATTGGACGAGGTACTCCCACTTCTTAAGTTAAACAAACTGTTATTAGAATGACAGGTTGTCAAAGCATGTCATCAAACAGGTTGCTTGTGAGTCCAAGTGACTTTAAATACTACTATAGTTAAGGAAAATGCATTTAAGGTCTTAAGTGCTTATGGGATCTGAAGGAAAGATCATAATTGCAAACACGCAGTTTACTGTCAAGGCTTTCGGGCAAACAGACTGAACATGCAGTGGATGATTTGAGCTTATGATGTGTTTAATGTAGAAGCGGCAGTTTTATAAGAGCTTCCAGCAGCTGCCTCCCTCCCAGTGGACAGAGCTGGCTGATCTGATCAGTCAGTGTATGGACTACCAGGCAGACTTCAGACCTTCCTGTCGCAGTATCATCCGTCAACTCAACAGTCTGATCACTTCAGGTAATCGTGTATCAATACTTAGCTGATAATTAATATGGCGAGTATCACAGGTCCAGTGTGTAGCATTTAAGATATTCTCAACTATGTTTTCATTAGTTTATAATCACCTGAAAATAAGAATTGTGTTTTAATTACCTTAGAATGAGCCATTTATATGTACATATGGATCAGATCTTCTTCCATGGAGTCTGAACTACCCAAACACTGGTTCTAGATAAGGCCATTTGTGTTTTTGCATTGCCCCCCATAGTTCTACGCAATTTGGCACACAAGGAGAAGTTTCAGCTCTGCAACCTCACCACTTCATGCCTTTAAATCCTACACAATGGACCTTTAGCCATATATCTCAAAAAAATGTCAGGTTAACTTTTTTAAACTGACTCTGTTGAAAAAATAAAAATACTGACATGTTTTTGCATTTCATGGCAGACTATGTGATACTTCACGCCACTGAGCCTGTCACACAGAGCCCTGTGTGGAAAGCCCTCAGCCCTGCTCAGCATGACCAGACATTGTTTGAGGAGAGACACCTACGCTACATCTCCCCCCTGGGGAAAGTAAGTTTGCAGCTGCAGGACAACCAGAGTCGCACAGTATCTATAATGCAGACCCCTTTGGACCAGTCAGTGCACTTTAATGATCATGAGCTTGTGTTTTGGGAAGATCTGATGAGTCTTGTCCAAGATAGTACATCAAGTCATTGTCTGCATGCCTATGATGTATAGCAGTTGTGTCCAAGAGATTGTATTTGATGGACAAAATCAAACTTTTTAGACGTGAACGACAACTGACTGACTCAAAATATTTCCAGGGAAACTTTGGCAGTGTTGAACTTTGCCGTTATGACCCCCTGGGTGATAACACTGGTGAGCAGGTTGCTGTGAAGAAGCTGCAGCCCAACAAGCAGTCGACCCTGGAGGACTTCAAGAAGGAGGTCAACACCCTCAGTGTTCTTCACTGTGACTACATCGTTAAATACAGAGGAGTCTGCTACAGCCCAGGTAACAACTCACTACAAACATGTAGATGATAAACAGCACATAATAAAATGATCAACTTCAGTAAGAAAACAAAATTGTTGGTGTGCTTAGATTTAAGTTCTCCTTTAAAATCAAATAATTTGAGTCTTTAGCATTTTTTAAGAGGTGTGTGAGCTCACATTTTTGGTATAGATAGATACATTAGTTATAACTGTTCCTCATACACTTTTGCTTACTAGCAGTGGCGTCGCCAAGGGGTGGCACGTACATACTGATAGAATCGCACCCTCCTCCAACTGGCTCCCCCTCACAGAAATAATTGAAGATACCTGAAGGTGTTTTTAAACTTAAGTGCACTTGTTTCCAGTTTGTTCCTTACAGCCGATGCACACCTTCAAATTAAAACTGTACATCTGTTTTTGAAAAGGACCTGTATATGACAGTCAGAGCTTTAAAATGGCAGCAATTTGCAATTTGCTATGCACAGATATGGTGGATTAATGGCATCCTGGACAGAGATTTAAGTCATGGTACCTCTGTGCGTGTCTAATCAGAGCTTCTCTGTTCATTGTTATGCTAGTTAGTGCATGTGTGTGTAGGCTATCCCACTGGCTTGCTGATTGCCACCACTCCGCACTGCACTCAAACAGGCAGTTACCACTGATGTCAGGATGCTGTTGTCGCTGAAGTGTAGTGCCGAACTTTTGGTCCCCCCCCTTGGTTAACAGCATTATCTTTGTCAACACTGTTTATGCTGTTAGCACTGTTAGCTGCTAGCCGGCTCAGCCACCTCCATGTTGAGAGCCATGTGTAGACGATTTCAGCTTAGACTCTGAAGCTCTGAAAGTCGTACACAGCTCTTCTACGGAAAAGGACAATTAGTCTGTTAGAAGAACAATACATAGCCTAACATGTGTACAGATACATAATAAGATAATTGTGGAACTCAAAATGTTATTATTAGTCTATGCACATCAAATTATTAGTAACACTAACTGTAAAATAAGAAACCAAAGTATATCAGTATATGATTTCTTAACTCTCATACTGACATTTTAACATTTACATATAATTTTAACTGCAACAGCATAATTGAGTTCCTCAACTTAAGTTATGGCTTTTGGTTTTGGTGTGCCACCCTAATATTTTCAGTTGCCCTATAACAATCAGCAACTCAGACTTGATTTATTTGTATATTATTCCCCTCCCCAAGTAAAAATACGGGATTTTTTTTTTTTTTTAAACCAAAGTTATTGGAAGACTGTCCACTTTAATACTTATTTCCTTTGATTAACTTAAGATAATCCCAGTGAGGAAGAAATGTCCAGTGCCCACTATTTAAAATGAAAAAACAGGAACCAGGAAAAACCAGGTCATTGCCAAAAAAAGAGAAAAATATCCCCCCCAAAAAAGGTAGGTAGTTGGCTCAGTTCCTTAATGGTCCTCCACACACACCAGGTCGAGAAATCACCAAAAGCAAGAGCCCATTGAGGTTTATTTTCCTTCCAAGGCAGGCTGTCTGGTCTCCATCACTGTTCTGCTTTCCTCTTTCGCCAACAAAATCAAAAAACCCTCCACAAATAATTTCCTGCTCCTTGGTTCTCCAACAGCCACGCCCCTTCACCTGTGTGCAGCAGCACACCTGAACCCAGTTAACCTACAGGTGGCAACAAGATAGACACACTGAGAGTATATTCAAAGGCTATTCTATTTTAAAAACCCTCCAACAATCCTGTACATGTCTCTCCCCTCACCTTTGTGGCGGTGTCACAGCCCCATCTGGCCAGCCATAAGAAAAATTTCTGGGGGCGCCAATGTATAGTAGTTGGGTGTTTAATTAGAAATGCTTTTTAGACATTTGCCACCAATGCTACAAATACTATATGAATACTCTGAAATCTCCTAATTCATTTAACTAATGAATCTACAGATCTAGTTGGGGGAACTTTGGGGTTATTACATAGAGCACCATTTCAGAACTGATGAATCATCAAAAAGTCATAACTAAACAGTTGTTGGGTAAACTTCCTTAAGTGTATGTACACCCATCAGCCAAAACATTAAAACCACTGACAGGTGAAGTAAACAACATTGATCATCTTGTTACAATGCAATGTTCTGCTGGGAAACTCCAGCATTCATGTGGATGCCACTTGACACGCACCACCCACCCAAACACCATTGTGGATCAAGCAAACCCCCTCATGGCAACAGCACTCCCCACTGGCAGTAGCCCCCCAGCAGGACAATGTGTAATGCCACACTGCAAAAACTGCTCAGGAATGGCCCAAAGAACATGACAAAGAGCTTAAGGCCTTGACCTGGCCTCCAAATTCCCCAGATCCAAATCCAATTGAGCATCCTTGGGACATGCTGGTACACTATCTCACAACCCAGAGGACTCAATGGATCTGCCGTGAAGACCCTGCTACCAGACACCTAGGGGCATCCCCAGACTTCCCTTGTCCATACATGTCAGAGCTATGTCCAATCCGTAGAGGCCCCACCATAGATGGGCGGTACATCTGGGGTATTGGCATGTCCCACAGATGCTCAGTCGAATTGAGAACTAGGGAATTTGGATGCCAGGTCAGTGCCTTGGGCTCTTTGTCATGTTCCTTGTACAAACACAAGAGATGACTGGGAGTATCTGACTTTGGAGGTTGTTTTTTTTCTTCTAAATATTTTTAAAATGTAATCTTTTCCTTCACAGGTCGTCTCACTATGAGTTTGGTGATGGAGTACCTGCCCCACGGCAGCCTTATAGGCTACTTGGACAGTCACCGACATAATGTCAACACCAGGCGGTTGCTGCTCTTTGCCTCTCAGATCTGTAAAGTAAGAGTTAGATATGCCTATCATGTCGACATCTGCAAATGGTTGTCATCATAAAATTTAATATTAAGTTATACAGTTGAATGGACTGTGATTTAATTATTGGTTAACAAAACCTTGCAACACTGTTGTTGTTGTTGATCATTCAAAAATTTTGACTTTGAGTATTACTCTACTCTGTCGCCAAAAATGTGTTGTTTTAAATTCACATTTGTCTTTCACAAAAAAGTCCTACAGGAATCTTCTAGAAAAAAATGCAAAGGTCATTCCTCATGGAAAATTAGACAGAAATTCCTGTAGAAATGTAACTATACTGGATTCGTAATTGTTTGTTTGGGAGAAATCCAGCAGGAATTTAGACTGAATCTTAGATTCAGTCATGTCAGTGCAAACATGCAGGTTAGGTTAACTGGTGACTCTAAATTGCCCATGAATGGTTGTCTGTCTCTGTGTGTTAGCCCTGCGATAGTCTGGCAACCTGTCCAGGGTGTACCCCGCCTCTCACCCAGTGTCAGCTACGATAGGCTCCAGCCCCCTGGTGACCCTTAACAGGATCAGCGGTTACTGAAAATGAATGAATGAATGACATTCAAACCAACAGTAAGGAGTTCATAGGTCAAAGCCACAGTGTACAATGTACAATAGAGACAGTTCTCTGCAGCCTATATCTCATCTTATGGCTCCATGAATCAGCTGCATTTTTACTGTAGGATAGTACCAAAGAATGGTTGCACTGCATAAAACAAAGGCGACAGGGATGAGAGTTGTTTAATTTTCTTCTGCTTTTAATTTTTCAGGGGATGGAGTACCTGCAGACCCTGCGTTACGTGCACCGAGACCTCGCAGCCAGAAATATCCTTGTGGCCAGTGAGTCGCTGGTGAAAATTGCCGACTTTGGGCTGACCAAGATCATTCCTACTGACAAGGAGTACTACAGAGTGACACAGCCTGGAGAGAGCCCCATTTTCTGGTAGCTTTATTCATGTTTGCCCTTTAATCCAAAGTGTTAAAGCAGAAACGTATAACGGTCTGAGGTGTTTGTTTGAATCAGACACTGCAAAACTTTGCTAGCTGTTTCCCTCTGTTTCTAGTCTCTGCACTAAGCTAAGCTAATCGGCTGCTCACTCTAGCCTTATATTGAATTTTCCACCTGACCACACACTGCTCATCTGATGCAGGTATGCCCCAGAGTCCATCAATGAGTTCAAATTCTCCCACAAGTCAGATGTCTGGAGTTTTGGAGTTGTTCTTCATGAGCTCTTCTCCTACTGTGACACAAACGCCAACCCAAAAAGGGTAAGAAGGTTTACCATCGATACATTGATTCATGCCTGGACCATGTTTCAAAATCTTTAAATGATGACACCATTGTGGTTCCCCGCCACTTTTTAATTTTTTCCATAATGTTACCTTTCTAGCTATGCACGCAGGAAGTCGGACACCATGTGCAGAGTCCGTCCATTGCAATGCATCTGGCAAATATTCTAAAGAATAACTGGAGGTTGCCGGCACCTCCAAACTGCCCACACAAGGTATGTCCACTCCATATGGTTCAATGGTTGAAACACAGTTACCTTTTTGGAGGAGTTTTGTCTTGATTACAATTGACCTATGGCTAAGTCCCGCCCTCAAACGTGATGAGCCAATCACAGTGCATATAGCCATTCCCATACACTTGGACATTCTCTGCCTGGACGTTCATTGAAATGCATTACAGAAAGTCAGTTTTGTTCGGTTTTATGAGCTTTTTCGGAGATTTGAAGTTTAAAAATGATCAAATGGTGTGCATGGGGTACATGCAACTCCGACACAAGGTATCCTGAGAGGCTGGGTGATGGGGTGTAATTTTTACCCTTTCATAAACCACATCTCAACTGAGAAAAGTGTCTCCTTTGGATAAAGTTGTGTGGTAACGTTAGACCACAACATCAACTCAACGTGAATAAGATTAACAATGATGTCTTCATCTGTTTTAAGGTAAGTCAACATTGTGTTTGAGGCAACATATTGTCACTTTGCTGGAAAGAAATATAAAGTTATCTTTAACATTTCTAGCTAACGTTAGCTAAAGTTAGCCTAACGTTAGCTCCTAGCTGCGTTGCTCATCATGTCACCTTGTTTGCTGGGAGTTCATTAGCCTATTTTGTTCTAGTTTTGTACTTTCGCGATAGTACATCATTGTTAGCTGTTGTCCAGAGGGCTCTAGTTAAGCTAACGTTAACTTCTGGAGCTTAGCTTCATTAATTTATCTGTAATCGCAGAGATAACAAAGGTTGGCAAACGTTATGCTGAATGATTCAGTGTAAATACTGTAGCACCAAACTAACGAAAAGACACTGTTGGTAAAGATGATAAAAAGGCTGTTATCCTTTTCTCATATTCTGAGCCAAAAACCTTAACTTCAGTGGCACTTTAACTTGTTGTCTTTGATGGTGACGGCAACAAGATGCGGTTCACAAGCGTACACTGTGACCTGTAAATTTTGGCTTGTAATTTAAGCTTTTCATCGACCTTCTCAACAATAAAATGATGACTATGTCCCTCCAATGTGTAGTTTAGGCCCTTTTGGTTACTTCTCAATGACATCTGATCGTTATGTCCCCAAAAATCATCAGTTGCCTCCTGCGAAATGCCGTGTACTGTGACACCTGCCATAGCGACTAGTCAATGAATGTTGATAGTGAGTGGAGGGGGGCGTGGCTTAGCCATAGGTCAATTAAATTAAAAGTATTCCAATTGTGAATTATCCACACAGCTACATTTTGTCATCGGTGACAATGTAAGTGTCCTTCAAAATTAATACCCCACATGATACTGTTAAAAAACTAGTCTAGTGAGTCCAAATGCAGAAAGAGACAGACTGGAGCAGGATCAAGAAGGTAATTTATTTATAGATAAATGAGTGGAGGAGTAAAGGGGTGGCTGAAGTCTGAGGCAGGGGAGCTGGACTGAGGGAGCTGACAGAGGGGTTTTAGAGAGCAGAGGTAAATGGAGCAGATGTATGACTCCTGCACACCAGATTCCACTCCTACAATCAGAGGAAGAGGAAGAGGGAGAGGGAGAGGGGAGGGGGAAGCTCCTGGCTAGGAGGCAGAGGAGCAGCAGAGGCTGTGACAAACACGTCCCAAAACAGTCCTTTGTTCTGCTTTTACAAAGGTTTTATCTCTTGTCTTTTTATTCCACCATCTGCTGTTGATTCTGAAAGGACCTGACTACTTTCTCAGCTACGGTTATACATGTTTTAAACATCTTATTTGACCTTCATCTCACCAAACTAGTCACTGCAACTCTCACACAATAATATGAAAATATCAACTTTGCTGTGTTCTGTTGATAATTATATTTTTATCATTGTAACACCAGGTGTACAGTTTGATGATGCAGTGCTGGGCGTACAACTTCGAGGAGCGGCCATGCTTCACTGACCTGGGAAACCAAATTGAAACTATAATGCAGGACGAGAGAGAGTACCCTAAAGGCTGATTGTAATGTATAAATATGCATTCACAAGTGAGCAGAGGGAGGACCATAAGCTCAGTCACATGGACTATAAACACAAGATCAGCTGGATGTATCTTTAGTTCTTCAGTACACGTGGGACATACAATATAAGCACTTATATTTCACAGCGATACAGCTCTAATAATAAAAACTCCGCCATATCACACTTAAAAGCCTTTACACACCAGGGGCATTTCTTTCTAACTTATTTTTATCATGAAAACTTTCACATCAGGAAACATCAGGACAATGACAATGCAATCGCTGCCTGTATGAATAATTCTGATGCAAAATATTTGTGTTGTTAATTTCATCATGTTTTCTTACAGTCAAATCAATATTATATTCATAAAACTGTACTATGTTCATACACAAGGCTCACAGATTTTCAGAATCAAGAATTACTTGTCCATACCCATTGGTAGCTTTGTCACCTTCTACCTATGCCAATCCTCAATGCCTATGTGCAGTTTCACATAGACTGACCACGTCAGTGAGTAGAAAAACATGGGACAGACAGAATGACTGACTGACAGAATGACACACTGGCAGTTTCCGTGATTATGTACAGCATACCATACCATGACTTAGTCATACCAAAAATTAGAAGAAAAAAAACAACAACATTCGGCCACAGGGGGAGTCACAGCGATCGGTCGCATTTTAGCCATTTTTCTGTTGTTATAGCGCCACCCAGTTGCCAATTAGAGTTAAATTTCTCCAGTCACCTTGAGGCGTCCTGTTCTACATATCTACCAAGTTTAGTAAAAATCAATATAGCGGTTAGGCCTAGATAAGAAATTAGCTCTCTAGCGCCCCCATTTTGTTTGATGGGGTCAATAATGGAGGGGTCCCCTCAGATTATGTGTGGTCATATGCCTACAAAGTTGTGTGGTGATCGGTGAAACCCTTGACATGTTATACACCTTTATGTGATGAGCCACGCCCTCCGCAATATTCATTGCCTTATAGAAGCTCAGTTTTAGTAAGTTTTCCAACTTTTGCCAAGAGGGAACTTTAGATATTGGTCCCTAGATTATGTTCACCGAGTTTCATGCAGATCGGTCAAACTTCCTAGGAAGAGATCGATTTGAAGTGTTTTTCAAAAAATTCAAAATAGCAGAAAATCTGTATAACCAGAAGTTATGGGTTCTTGTGGCAAATTTGTTCCTCATGAGGAGAGACATCTCTGTGCAAAGTTTCATGTCTCTACGACATACGGGGCATGAGATATGCCCATTCAAAGTTTGCAATGTCAATCGGTTGCTATAGCGCCCCCCTTTGGCCAATTGATGTAATATTGCTTCATTCGCATCCTCCCATGACCCTCTACCACTGTGCCAGATTTCACATGGATTGACCAAGTCAGTGAGGAGAAAAACATGGAACAGAGACACAGACAGACACACCCACAGACAGAGTTTTCATCACTATATAGTAAGATAGTAAGATGACATTGTTATTTTCACCAGCAAATATAAGATATTTAAGCACAACACGTTCCTTAAATGGAATCAAGCAGCAACAATTTACTTACTGACGTGCATCCTATAGTTATTGTGAAATTGGTGTGGCCAAGTTTCGACCACATCAGGTATGACAGGAAGAAGCTGAAAGTAGCAAAGGTGAGGAGCTCGGCCGACAGGCAAATAAAACCAGCTCTGTTTTAAAGCTAGCTAGTTAAATATTTTCTCTGTGTGTTGAAATTACTGACTTGATATCTTGTGCTTTGTAATCATATTGTGTATATGTATGTAAAACAGCATGGCCTGAATGGGTCTGTAGCAGTGGTTTAGGACATTAGTTGGTCATTTGTTCAAGGTATGCATGGTTTGATACATTCAGTGTCATGCTTGCGTTTGGCCTTGTCCTCAAGCTTGTTTTCTGTCTCTGTCAAGAATGGACCCATAACCTACTTTTGGACCACGAACCACCAGTTTGGAACCACTATTTTTTTTTTTTTAATTTCTTTTATGAAAATGTATGGAGAAAAAGATTTTTTTGCATTTATATTGTGGTACTGTAGTATTTTAGTAAAGATAATGAAGATTGTATTCTGTGCTTTATTTACATCCTTTACTGTGTTTCAAATAAAACAATTCTGTAGCACCGTCTTTGTAAATACTTACTGACAGCACTGAGGTCTGTGTAATGCCTGAAGCACTGACGCATCTAAAATAAATGGCTGAAGAAAATGAATGAATACATACTTAAAGTTCTTGAATCCTAAGAAATTTCAATAACGTATGGGCGTATTCAATGTGGTATGGCCTAAAGCGGAAACAGCTGGAATGAAAAGGATCTTTATAGATGTGGACCATCATCAGCATGATCATTTGTGTGCAATTTTGTCCATAGCATGTAAGTTTTTCACTTCTCTTTATGAACAGCAGAGGACGCTGCTGCTTCTTCACTGGACACTCTGAAATCTCTTTGCTCTGAATGAAACATTTCAGATGAGAGTGAATTTGATTCTATTAGGAAGAAATTAGAGATGACACATGCGGCATAACCTCAATTCACTCCGTCCTCATTTAGTCCTGCAGTTATATATTTGTCCACAAGATGGCTCCCCATTTCTGTGCTCCCTTTGGAAACTACTATTACCCAGTTCTTCACTCCACTTCTAATTTAAACGCAGCACTTTTGTTTTTGCTCCCATTTTCAGAGGTGTAAAGGTAAAGGTGGCACATCAAGACACTGATTATAAAGCATCACTACTACACAGGTGTACCTTGGGATGGTTACAGTAAAAGGCCACTCTAAATTTGCAGTTTGAACACACAACAGAATGTCACAGATGTTGTAAGGTTTGAGGGAACTTGCCATTGGCCTGCTGACTGCTCAAATGTCCACCAGAGCAGATGCCCAAGAACTGAATTTTCATTTTTGAGTTACCTCTGGAAAAAAATCTGTTAGAGAATTGCCCAATATCTTTGGCATTTCATTCAATAAAAACCCACTAGTCCTGTTACTTGGGGGAGAAAAATACCAGAAGAGATCGATTAGAAAGATTCTCACTTGTAGCAATGATTAAACAAATTACAAAAAACTGGTTTAAAGATAACTTAATCAATGTTGAATGGAAATCTTGTTAAGAAAAAATATATACGAAATGGAAAAAAATGACCATTAGAGTTAGAAATCAAGTCTCATATTTTTGAAGAAAGATGGGGGGAAATGCTTGAGATATATAGAGGACGATGTTCCCATTGATTTTTGATAATATGACAGCTGAAGTCATGAGACTGATAGCATAGAAGTTTTTTCTTGTTCTTTATGGTTCACATAAATATGTGGGTAACTATGTGTCCATGTTTGGGTACACACATTGATGGGTGTGAGCATGTATGATTAGGCATGTGGGTATCATGTGTGTTGATACCTGTATGTACCTAGTTTTTATAAAATGTATCCTCTAACCTTTATCAAAATGTATGGGTTTATTTAACTACATCCTATGAAAAAAATATAAGTGATTTGCTTTGTTTTCTCTTTTAAATTTCTTAATTTATTATCATTATATTATTGTCACTTATTTCTGCTATTTCTAACACTTTTGTTTGTTTATGGTTTATGTACGTATGTATTCATGTGTTTTCTTTATCCCTTTTACCTTATAATTTTCGATCTCTACATATGTTAAATAATCCTCAAAAATGCTCTCTCTCTCTCTCTCTCTCTT